TGAGTTCCCTGTATCCACACCAGCTGTCTGGCTAACAGCTGACTGCTGACAGCCAATCATATTAAAGCGATTAGATGCACTAACACTGAAGTTGATATTGTTAGGCCTGTTTCCTGTACAGTACTTCAGTCAAGTTGGCGGTCAAAAAAACATGTCGAAGATACAACTGTTATACAATGACTGAGAACATACAACTATATAATTTTTATGATGTGGACTAACACTTCTTTTGGGCCTTGTTTATGCATTTTCTTCAGCATCTCTATTACTGGTAATATTAATATAGATGTAAGACTTCTTTAAAAAAAATCACATCATAATATTAATTAACATATTTCTTATTGTTAGACTGCGTAGTTTCCAATAAATTGTGTGTCACTGTTAATTTAAATTTTGCTGCAAAAGAAAGTACGACAGGAATATATTCTTTCAGCAGAATAATTACCCACACAAAAAATTATTAAAAAAAAAAAACTCTCAATTTCTCTTTGATTCGAGCAAAAAAAAAAAACTCTCAATTTCTCTTTTCCCTGACATGCTTTGAATGAATCGTCTCCTGAGTTGCTGAAAAACACATTTTTTGGAAAAGTAATTTAACAACATGGCATATTTGTATTCAGTCACACTGATTTTTTCCAAAATGAGACCATTTATTGTTTTCATTTGCAAGCTGTCCGTCATTTTCTCATGGCCTCATTTACGTCAGCCATATCTCTACCAAATCCTCCATCTGTCCCAGCCCACAGTCCACTAACCAGGAACCCAGGGGACGTCACACAACCTTACAAATGGCCAAAGATGATGTTGATTCGGTGTAAAACAGTAACACTGGGGGAACATTTCAATTGTAGAACAAAGGACGAGGCAAACAACAACTTCCAATGGAAAATGGCACGCATATGTACGTAAGTGCACCACTGCTGTGATGCATGAATGATAACAAGCCTCCAGTCACTAGGTGGCAGCAACTTATACATCGGTTTGTACAGATTGTACATGTTATCATGTTCTCAACAGTATTTCAATTCGTGGGGTGTGGTTTGGAGGGGTACAGGGGGTCATGAAAACATTTCTGTCACGGGTGGCCATGGCAGAAAATAATTAAGAACCACTGCTCTAGTATGATCGAATCCTAACTCCACAATAAAGTTTAAACCTTAAAATAGCCTTGAACCACATTTCAATTCTCTGTCCCCACTACAATTGAATTATTAAAAATAGGTCTCCATAAATGAAGCTAAACACACACACACACACTCCTCAAATAAGTCCAAATTTCAATTTTTCTTTTTTTTTTTATCAGCAGCAGGAGACCTGGTGTCATTAACATAAAACTATAACGTTATAGAACTGCAACTTGTGTGAGAAATTGGATGTGAAAATGCCAGAGCGCATTAACTTCTTCACATGGGCTGAAGGATCCTAATAAATAAATAAATAAAAACATAATTTGGAAAAATACTGAGGAGACACAGTGAGAGTGGTGATAGAGAGGTGACAAGAGTACACTGCAGTGCTCCTGCATTACAATTGATTGGCTGGTTTAACTGCCAATGCTGCTCACTCGAGCTTTAAATAGACGGCTGAAACTCTCTTTTACCCAACATTCCTGTCTCTCCATTCGATCGTTTTCTCTCCTCCTTTTGTCTTCTCTGTCTCCACCATCTGTCCTCATCTCTGCCTAAACTATCTATGTATAATTCCTATTCCTTTATTTTCCTTTCCTATCCTTCATTCCACAGTTGTACTCCGAGCTTCCTTTTCATTTACTCCACTCTTGTTTCCTCATACGCCATAAATATTCAAATCACATCATACGAAAACAGTCCACACTCACGGCACCATTGTCTCTCCAAATTAACCGTTTTATTGTCGATGCACACGTTTCATCCTGGTAATTTCCTACATGGAGTGATCCTGCATGGTTGTGTGTGTGTGTGGGGGTGGATAAAGCAGCTCACATATTGATACCAGTGTGTTTATTTCCAATTTGTCCAAGCAGAGGTCACAAGCTGATCCTAAATTGTGCTCCAATCGTCTGCTAATCACACAACTTCTCCTTCCGTCCTTGCTCGCCCTCACTTTGCTTTTTATCTCTCATTTCCTCACGGTGATAAAGTCATTTTGAAGTGAGGTGGAAAAGGGTTGGGTTTCTCCTCCATGGCTGCTTAATGGAGACAAGGGCAGGCCCAAATAAACAGGCTGGGAATCACTTCAGTGTAGACAGCAATCTCTTTGGAGTTTATAGGAGGACATGCAGGTTAGTGAATGTGTTTTTTGCAGCTCTCGCTATGAATCATCGCTCTTGAGACTATCAGAGGTTCACACTCTTTATTGAGCGCGTTTCCTTTTACACCTCACACATAAAAAAAACTCTGCAAACATCCCGTGATAGATTTTGTTTACAGCTGATATGTGTAGCTTTACATTCATTCTTATAGATGGTCATAGAGATTACGTTGCCTTGAGAAGAGGGAAGAATTAGTACCAGCAGCCTCCGAGTCGCCGGCTGATTTAAAAGCAGATAAATCAGTGTGTAAACAGCAGCGTAATCAGTTCATAAAGTAGATGATGTTTACACTAGACACCAGCTGGGGCTCAAACACAGCCCATTAAGGCCTCTAATGGAGACAGGGTCACTCACGTCTGATGATGTTAGTAACCTCATGCTAATGACGATGCACTTTGATCTCACACACTGTAAAGTCAGTCTCATGTGACTTGAAAACTTTTGGAATTAAACCATTTTTGTTTGTCTTTTGAAAGAACAATTAGAAGATCAAAATACACTCAATTATTCAGCGAGAGTTTGAGCCCAACTGAAGTCAGTTTTTTAAACGAAAAAAAAAATAAAACTTGGAAAACTGGTGAACAGTTTCTCAAAATGGCCATTAACAGTCGGTTTACAGACCTTCACAAAGCTCTGACTTAAAACCCATGGGGGTTTTGTACTGAAGTGAACCAAAGACCAGGGTCAAGCCCAGGAGACCATCAGATGAATGAGAGGAAATATAGAAGATTGAATTTCCTATTTATACGAAATATCTCCAGAGAGCAACTACTACAGTAGTTTCTCTGCAACAAAAAGACTAAACAAACAGCAGACCTTTGGTTAAATTATTCCTTATTGAGATATTTTGCATTTAGTCAATTTTTTTTTTTTTTTGTAAAGTAGAATGATGTACAATGTCTCAATTCAGAGATGTTGCAGTGGATATGTCCTCTATAGTGGGTCGTGACCCTCAGATGGGTTTTTTTTTTTTGGTCACACAATGTCTATTGACTTGGGTCTCGAAGGTTTGTGACTTTTAAAATATGGGTCCCCAGAAAAAAAAGTTTGGGAAACACTGCTCTAGTCAAAATGTTCAAATTGAACAAAATAAAATAATAAAATAAAAAAATTAGCCCGTAAACTCCTTCTCTCTTAAATTCTGGGAGATGTTTTTGGCACCAGTTCAAATCCTGCTTTTTTTTTGTCTAGTTTAAGGCCCGAAATGGAGTTCCATTTTAAATGTATTTTTTTAATGTAAAAATGAAACATTTGATGGAGCTTTATCAGCAACTCCACTTCGTTATACATGAAGTAAACATCATCATCAAACTTGTCAGAGTCATTGGAGACGCATTTTAACGTGTTACGAATGGACAGCTTTTAAAGTGATAACATCTGTTTTACATCTTTCTAATTTACTCTTCATAATTTTGGTCATAGTGGTGGGTGTGTTGTCAATTAATTTGCGATTCTTAAGAACCGTGGACAATTTTGTACCACAACAATATGTCGGCACTTCAGCCTCACTACGAATGGACGGTTTTTTTTTTGAAGCTCTGGATTTTCTGCTGCGTTCACTGACAGCTGTGTTCATTGGCACTGGCAGGTTGAAACAGAAGACTCTGGTGTATAATTCCTCTTGCTGACAATTTTCAACAAATATTAGAAGAAACTGCAGCAGCGTTTGGCTGCAGTCCTTCTCGTAGAACATCACATTAGCTGCTGCACTGTAGCTAATGTGGTGTCGGTTAATTATGATACAAAGCTGAAGATAACAGATCTCCAGACCAAATGTGGTCAGGTTGAGTACTGTTTACATAGAGTATTACACACGTCACTCATTAACAGTCGGACAAATCAACAACAGGCAGGTTTCTGTGTTTTTTACTCCAAACGCACACCCGTTAAAGTACAGCTTTTATTGTGTGATTGGTGGCCCAGATGGGACTGGTGTTAAGACCGTCAGGTGTTTCATTACAGACTTCATTGTCAATGTTGTGAAGGCCAGTGGAGTCAATAGCTGGGTCAGATTGCAATGTTTTGCCCACAGGCTGCATCTGGCCAACATAAATGTTTAAATTGTTTAGAGGATTAACAGATTTTTTTTTTACTACTGCAGTACTTTAACTTGCAGTTTCCCAGGATTAAACGGCAATATATTATTATATATTTTATTTTGCAATATTAAACTCATTGTTTTTAAAATCGTATCATGTATTTAAACACGTCTCCCTGTAATTCTACTGTACACTACACTGTCTCTGGCTCTACTCTTTTTTTTTTTTTGTCTTTTCTTATCTCTTCTAAATAAATGTGACTTTGAGTTGTTAGCTTGCTCTAAAATGGTGCGGTGCTTTAGGCAATGAGCTACTTTGATCCTCTATCACCCTGGACACCTGCCAGCTGTGCCTGGCTGCCACGGGGAAAATGTCACTTTGGAGATTGATTTGGAGGAAGATGAGGTCGTCTCTCTCAGCACACAAGCCTCATTTACAGCTTTCAACACTGGCTTTATACCTTGTGTGAATCTTCCCCGTGTTGTTTCCAGCTCATTATTTTTCTGCCTGCCTCACTGGGTCTGATGGGTAAATCTAGCAGCTGAATACAAGATGTTTTGCTCCACCGTCTTCCAGTCAGAGGAGTTCTGATTCTTTATTGGAGTGATTCTGTTATGTTTTAGGTTTCTCTGGTGCCAAACATCAAGTTTGTTTTCACTGACTTCCTGCAGGCCCCGACACCACCAAGGACCCGTGTCTGAAGGTACGCTGTCCTCCTCACAAGGTGTGTGTCAGCCATGACTACCAGACAGCCATCTGCACCAATCACAAGCAGCCAGCTCACAGGTAAGAAATACTTTCTGAACTTAAGGCTGGTGTGAACCTAACATTAGTGATATATAACACTTGTTTGCATTCATATTTTTTAATAAATTTAAAAAAAGTCTGTCTGGTTTTCAGGCGCACATGACAGCAATCTTTCCACTCCACTCTTGAACCGTTCCATTGTCAAATTCAAAGGAAATCCAATTCCCCAACAGTCATCAAAAGGTCCTTTCCCTCTGTTATGGAGTTTAATTGATTTTCTTTCAATCCCTTAGTTCCTGACATTATTTAAATCCAATGCACTGCAGTAACAAAGTCCTGTTTGCTGTAAATTATCAAAAGATCCATGATGTACCTGAAGTGAATTTCCGTCACTGACTCGTGTGATTGTTTGAGCTACATCAAAACAAACTGCATCAACTCTCATACCACAGATCTAGCAACTTCTCAGGGGACAAATGCAAACTTTGTCACCCCCAAGATAATCAAAGGCTTAATGTGTAATTAGAATAAATGAACATTGTGTTGGTGGAAGATATTGTTAATTTGGGACATGATTCAGGATCATTACTCATTACATGCTACAGTATGCATCTAACAAAATAATTTCCACTAAAAACACTTTGTGTTCACTCATTTGTATAACTGCAGCATTTGCAAAGTACAAAGGCGAGTGTCTTCATCTACTTCTCTTTCTCCTCGTACAGACCTGGCTTCTCTGATTGGTTGATAATAATGTTTGGCTGCAGGCTTGGATGTCCACATTAGCAGTAAGCTGTAATTCAGAAAGCATTATCGGGGCTTGCAGCGCTAAATTGAAAATACCCTACCTGCTGTGAGGGGACCTCAGCAAAGTCAAATATGAGCTTTACCAGATTAGAGCAGCACAGAATCACAGCGGGGGGGCTGCAGTGTTGCAGCACAAGTCTCTGTTTGAGTTTAATTTGTCTAGTGATCATCTTTTCTTCTTGATCCTGCTCTCCGTAGCACTCTCTTAGACAGTTACTCATGTGGCATGCGCACACATTCCCCTAGCCAAGCACATCCCTTCTTTCCAGTCACACAGACAACTTAAACACACTCTCGTACTTCACTGAATTCATGCGCTATGGGAATGACAATACCAAGATTAGATTGCGAGGAAGATGAGGGGAAGCATCTCAGACGTTGTTTATCGGCTAACAAATTCCATCTCACCCGTGTCTTGCCTTATCTGCCTGCGCCGCGTTTGTCAATGTTTTGTTTATCAGTGCTGCGTGCACATCTAATCTGCTGTGGCGATCGCCGCGGCTCGGTTGATGAGCTTAACACTTATGAAAAAAACCAAGAAAGCAGATGATATGCTGCCTGTAATGTGGCAGCTGTAGATGTTGTAAAATGTAAATGGATCTCGGGGATATGATAAGGTCTCAGTGTGAATGGAAGGGGTTGCATTGATGAATATTATGAATCCATGCCTAAAATCTGTCTAGGCAAGTCAAGCAGTTGGCTGTGAAAAAATATTGGATTATAGTCAACCAGATACTATTTATTTGTTTGTTTTTTATGCTATTGCTACTGGTTGAAAAGCTGATGGTCACATGGACTCTGCGAGACTCCACTTCCTTCTCTGCTGAAGGCATCACCAGGCAGCGTGGTGCTCGCTTTAAAAAAAAAAATGCATTGACATTTGCATGAAATGTTCCGACACCAGTAACTGAAAAAGTCTTCACGGTCGTGTTAGGGTTTTTCCCAGTTCAAGCTGACCCTGAAAATTACAAGCACTTTAGAAAACTTTCTCTCGAGGAGTGAAAGTGATTCTTTAGAGATTCATCACAGCGATTGTTTCCAGGAGTGTGGATAATGCAGTTTTTAAAAAGAATGTGTTTATTGTCTCCCTCAGTGTTAAACCCAGGAAGGGGAGCGTAGGACACAAGCACAGAGCTGAAGCTGGTGCTCATTGGATATGTAGGCACTGCTCTGCCGTGCAGTCGACACCTCTGTGTGGATCGGACGGACACACCTACTCCTCCAAGGTAAGGTCTTATAATTTGAGGAAAAGTTGAATATTTACTCAACTTTAGCCATTATCATATTAATAATTAAACATAAATCAATCACGTTTGAGGCTAAAATACATCTCACCGTTAGATTTTGGGGGTTAAGGACTCCTGGATTAGACTGTGGGAGATGATTGGATGAAACTTGCCTAACAAACATATTTCTAGTTTGTCCTTTTGTTTGTTTGGGCTGAAGCAGAATCCATTACATGGGACTAATGTACAACTAGAGACGTGTTTTTAATGACTCCAGTGACTCAAACTGTGGCAAACAAGTGGACAATTGTTGGACACCTGCTGAGTGTCGTCGCTGCCTCTGTGGTACGGGGCTAATTGCTGCACATAGGGCACTCAGGGCTATTATGACTGTGTTTAAAGAAAAAAGAAATCAATACAAGTAAACTCTGAAGGAGTTCATTCAGTCGGAGCCTCTCTGTTTGTCCACATGTTTCAAAAGGCCAATTTTAGCCCATTATAGCCCTTAAAAGTGGGCTTTTATCATCAAACCATACGCCACAAAGGTAAGTATTATCATATCATATCATATCATATCATATCATATCATATCATATCATTCTAGTCTTAGGTCAGTATTATGACACTGAAGACCTAAACTAAAGACGGCTTTTCTATCTGGACCTTCAGTCTTCAGACTAAGCCTGTGCTGATGAGTAGTTTTTTCCAGTACAAATGAGGGAGACTTGCCTGAGAGTTGTTCTCCTGCTCCCTGTGGTCCTTCGGTCGGAGGGGGCTCCGTTTGCTGCTGCTGTGAAAGGTCCCTGTGGCCCAACCTAAACTCTGCTCACCAGTGAGCCGCTGGTCTCCAGATTATTCATGTTTTATGATTACATTACATGTCTCCCTGAACGCAGCTGCATGCGCTCTCATACACACACTCAATATCCCATTAAGAGGACAGTGCTCTTATCTCCTGAGAGACTTCAGCCCACTGAGTTAACTCCATTACTCCCCTCCTCTTAAATCATCCTCTCCTCTCCTCTCCTCTTCTCTCTTCTTTCATCTCCTCTCCTCTGCCATCCTTTTCGTCCCCTTTACTCCCCTCTTCTTTTACCAAGTCAGGTGTTAAGGCACTATTTCATCAAAACCACATTAACCCCTGCAGAGAGACAACATAAAGATTCATGGAGCCTCTTGGTGTTCTGACAGTGACTGGAAGAACTCATCCATTTCCTTGGCTTTTTTCTCTCCCTCTCCCATCTCCGGTCAGCCCGCCCTCCCCTGCCCTGTCTCCCTTCCCGGGCCACTAATCCAATACACTGAGAACAGCACATGGATCTGTTCCTTTGTCAACAAATTTTATTAGGGCAAAATTACAAACCCCATTACTGAGGGGAATGCCAGTTCAAATGTTAAATACATTTTTAAAGTCCTCACATTTTGTGTCTATGTGGCGGCGCAAATGTGTGGCATAGGATAAAAGCTGAGTCTGAACACTGTATGTGCCTCCTGTCACCATCATGTTGCAAACAGAATTAACAGAACTCCTCACACCTTTATATTCCTTCTCCCTCAAAGACGTTATAATTGGATTTTTCTTTTTCTTCGCAACTGGATCCAATTCAAATTCATACCCGTCGCTTACCTGGAATGCCAGTTCAAATGTTAAATAACTTTTTCAAGTCCTCACATTTTGTGTCTATGTGGCGGCGCTAATAGAAACATCTGCATGCATCCTTTGTGTCGTATTTAGCTCATGTACAGGTAAAAGTGGCCTCACAAGACACTGCTGATCTAATTGTAGCTGCATCTCTTAAATTTTGAGATAAAATGTTTTCTTTTTCATTCTTTTTTTTTACAGTGTAAACTGGAATTTCAGAGCTGCCTCTCTGGGAAGACGATCACAGTCAAATGTGACGGACTCTGTCCCTGTTTGGTTGATCAGGATTTCAGCAGCGCAGCGCAGAAGACTGACAGGCCTGGTGAGTGTGACACTGTAACGTTCTCTGCCGAAGTAAATAAACGTCATTATTGAGTTCATTTTTGGTGCTTCAGCTGTTTGACTTTTTATATTCTGCCATGAGTCCAGTTGGAAGGCGTTTGTCTTAGGTTGCATTGGCATTTGCCTGATGGGAAAAATTAGAAGTTATTTGTTGTCACTAAGTTGTGTTGATGTAGTCCATGCTATTAGGTAGTTGTAAATTCTTGAATGACCATGGCTATAAGTGTGCATACATCTATATGTGGTCCTGTGATAGGCTGACTCACTGTCCAACAGCTCAGGCTCCACCAAATTGAGAGCCTATTGAAGACTGTGTTATATAATCCCAGAAAGTTAGCCCATTGGAACGCCTGAAAAAAAAAAAAACTACAGTTCTTCATGGTGTCCTCACCTCTCTTCACTCCTCTCGTCCGTGTCATTCTTTTGCCTCCGCCCTCCTCACGCTGCTCAGGTATTCTCTGACAGCTGCAGAGAGCAGTGATGGAGTGACTGTGTGTCTCATTGTTTGTCATGAAAATGGGATTCCAGCAGATAGATGGAAAGATGCTGGAGGAGAAATGGAATCTTAAAGTAAAGCAGCTCAGAAAAAGCATGGCTTGTTATCGTTGAGGGCTTATTTTCATCTGCATATGTAGGAGCAGTGAGATGGTTTCACTTTGTGTTGCTATCCATCTGTCCCTTTGGAGTGTTAAATATTTACAAATGCCTAAACATTCTTGTTGCACAAACGCAGACAGGAGCGCGTGAGCCGCTGCCCTCAGAGCTCTTTCCTAATCACCTTTTTTTTGTTCGGGAAATATTTCCGAGGCACCTATGGTTCATCGCCCACATTTAGTACACAATGAGTTTGTGTGTGTCTGCAAATTAATGATGGCTCTGTCTTAATCTCAAAGTCTCCTTCATTAGCTCTCCACTGAATGACGGCAGGGGCAGAGAATGATGTGGTAATAGAGAAGTATTTACAAACTTGACAGCTGTCTAATTGATTTCCCTCCGTCTTCTCTCAACAGAAAGTGTAATTATGCGTAGGAGTGAGTACTGTGAATGAGAATGAGCACATTTTGGACAGAGTCACAACGCATTATATTACACTTACATTCACCATCTGTTTCTGTGCTTTGAAATTCTGGGCTGAATTATATTTACTATTTTTGCCGTTTCAATTTCTGATTGCCTTTGCCTCAAAGTTTCTCTTTTTTTTTTAAACAGACAAATATTTGCTAAACAGATGGCATTGGCAGTAGATGGAGGGAAATAACAGCTACACCTATCTGTCTAACGTGTATGTGCGGCAGTGTTTGTTTATGAATATAATAAAATATAGAATATACTGTTAACAGCAATAATGTGAAAACTGAACTTATTTACCCACAATACCATTTATTTATTTACTATCCTTTGGTTCAGACTCAGTGCTGCTGAAGAAGATCTTTGTGTGTTTCTTTCTTCAATTCCTGCTAGTATATTAGTGTTTCGTTCAACTAAACAGGCACATGTTTATGCTGAGTAAATTGAATCTTGAAGATCAATGCATTTTAGTAAATTAAACAGTACAATAATATGCAGATTTGAACACAGCAACCATTAGTAAGAAGTTGAAAGGATGTGACTGAAGTTTAAAAATAAAAATCACTGTTAAAGAGTAGAAAACATGGAAAATGTAGAAACTGAATATTTGCTAAAGGATCAGGTACCACGGAACTGAAGTTTCACTTCCCTTTTATTCTGTCTATTGATGCTGATTGAAAACTACAGTTGAGAAGTGTGTGCTGCAGTGAAGAGCAGGGGGAAATTGTTTCTTATCTGATCAGGCAGCTTCAAGTAGACCACATTTTGAGTGGTCTACTCAACAGACTCCAAGTGGTGTATGTGTGTGTGTGTGTGTTTCTGCAATTGTGGGGACACTTTGTCCTTGTGGGAAACATTTTGAAGGTCTGTATTGAGTGAGAGGATTTTTGAAATGTAAAATTATTTATAAAATAGACTTACTAAGAGACAGTGCATGCAGATGTCCGTTGTAGAGGGATCATAAAACACAAAAACAAATTTGTGTAAATGTGTTTGAACAGCTGTACTTGTGGGGACATGAACGTTTTATACTTTGCTGTTTTTTGGAGGTTCAATGTCTGGTTTGGTATTAGGATTAAAATTATGGTCAAAGTAATGACTAAGATTAGTCATGTTTCTAATGAAATTGCAAATATATGAATATATATATATATACTGTTTATATATAGGTTTATAATAGATGTAAAAACAAATAGGCACAAGGAGTGCATTATGTCCATGTCAAGTTTTTACATAACACAAAGTGTGTGTGTGTGTATCTTTTTTTTTTTTGGGCTTTTGACACAGAGACACAGATTTGCCCTTAAAAAAGGGCCTTAGCTTTAGATTGTTGGGTAATTGGTAATCAAGCCTAATTTTATGTAATACTTTTTTCTGTATAACATTTTGAAAAATGAGAAACAAAGACTTAAACGTGATTTGCAGCCGGCATGTTTGCAGCCATGACATTTATGTCTTTGTCCTTTGCCCGAGTTGAACACCATCAGTCTCGTATGAAAAGATAACCAAAGGTGACACAAAACAATACTGTTTATGTTAAAGGCCTGAGTCATTACCATGTGGAATCACTTTTATAAACAACATTAATTTATTTCTCAACTCAGAAAAACAAAGAACTCTTTCTGGGTCTGATTAGTCTAAATCCCCCTGCTAAATTAATTTTTGCTGGCGATTCTTTCTCAGAGTTGTGCAGAGAGCCCACAGGAGGACGACTGGTTGGATTTTTTTTCTCTGCTCTCTCTTCTACCTCCACATTTGCTATCCTCTCCAAGCACATGGCTGTAGCTTGGGGATTTTTTCAAGAGTGCTGACCAGAGAGAAGAGGGACTTTGGAGCAGATTTAGCAGTTTTCTTTTTTCATGATTTTCCTCACCAAAGGGAAGAAGAGATTTAGACTTAATTTATGGATAACACTTTAAATTTTTTTTCATGCCTTCTTGACAAGACATTTATATGAAGGGGCTATTGATAAAGTGAGAGGCAGTTACATCAGCCGGATTTTCTGTCATTTTCCCAGAGCCCTGTGAGTAGGAAGGGTTTAAATAATAATAATAATAATTATTATTATTATTATTATTATTGTGTCCCTTATTTGTCCTACAATAGGGACATTTCTCAGCATGAGTCTTTGCAACTGACCCAGGCTGCTACAGGAGGCGCTATTAAATGTTGATTTAAATGTAAATGTTTGTTTTTCTAGTACTATATAAAGTGTTTTTTTAATTCATTTCACTAATACTTCAAATGAATTCATATCTCAGTCAAGACAAGTTTATGTCAAAGGTCTTAATGAAGTTGTCAAGTGTACCTGGCCTGGAGCAAAAGAGGAAAACGTTTAAAGATTATTGGACAGCTTTACTCGCCTCGAGACCAAGGAACGTTTAAACATTGACCAAAGTCTAGCTCCTAACAGCAAATGACTAAAAAGTACAAGCGTAAGCCAGTCCTCTGCCGGCCCCCAACTTTCTTTGTAGCTGCCCCTTCTCCCCCTCTATCTCTTTAATTGTCTCCCTGTCTATGCACACAGTGCCTTGCTGATCCTTATCAGGTAGAACCTGAACTTACTGCCATTGTGAGGTGGAGCTGATGGCTCAGGGCTGGGAAAATCAAACACACCTCTGTATCTTTTTAATGAATCTGACCTTCCATCTTCCTCACGTCACCCTCACCACTGTATCAATCCAGTTCTTCCTCCCTTTGTTAGCCTATTAAGCAGTGTCACCTCACTTCACTGTCTTCAGTCCCTGTCTCTGTCCGTCTCCACCTGCCTTTTTATCTCGATGTGATGCAACCTGGCTCCTGAAGTTTCAAGGTTGATAATCACCCACCTCTCCTTGGTCTGGGTTTAGCGACACTCCCGTCTCTTTCATTTGACTTTGTTATATATTTTTTATTTAAAAAAAGAAGAGCTTCAGAGAAACTTCAAGTTTTGGAGGGGCTGATCATTGGAGAAATAACGAATAAAAATGTTCCTCAACTCCAACACAAAGGTGGAATTGTTGTGTTCATTTACCTGACAGTTCCCATATATCTATAGGATGCTGCATTGTTTCAGGTCTTTATCGCTCCCTGTGGGTCTAAAAGGTTTGACTAAATAAATTTTATATTATCAGAGCACTTGTCAACTCAGCTGAAGGATTATAAACAAGCTACCTCTCGGCTTCCATGGCTTATTAACATTAACCCAAACCCCGAGATGGGGCTCATTAGTTTTTCAGCATTTAATTAAAACTGTGATCTTCCCCTAGGGGCACTACAACAAAGTTGGACAGGAGAGAGAGATAGCAAGATAGAGATAGAGAAAGGAAGACAAAGAGAGCAGCTTTGGCTAAAGTTTCAATGTGAGGTGAAAGTGTTCGGGTTTTTTTACCTCATTGACCCGACCCTTTCACCAACACTGTCAGCAACTGGAGCTGCTGCCGCGGTTGTGATGCAGCTCACTGAGGCAATTAAGCTAATTTCAACTGCTGGTGATGGATTATGACTAAAATTAGCTTTATCTCAGACCTTGGTAGCTCAAACATGCCTAAATTACTTTGAGGTAACACAAAAAAAAGGGAAGACAACTGTGCTACACCTGAAGACTTACAGTGTGTTTCAGCAGCAGGGTTTACTACAGACAAAGATTTCTGGATCGCTGCAGCTAAAAGTCTATTGAAATGCTTTTTGTTTTTTAACGCTATAATAGTATTGATCGTACATCGGCATTTCTAAATTGCCTGCTGGAAAATATAGACAGTTGTGAAGGTAATAAGGTTCAAATTACTCCATATAATAGCTGAAGCAACATAATGCCAGAATTCCGACCTTCTGTGCAGAAGGTTTTTGGTTCTATTCCACTAGTCCAATCCCAGTATTGTTTGCATCAGTAAGAACATGTAGTGTAAAAATCCTCCTAAATAAGGCAAGGACAGGCTGAAATTGATAAAACTACTGCTCTGATCAATCACCTTGCAACATTTTTTTTTCAGAAATATCTGGATTTTTATATCATAATATCAAAGACGTTGATATGATGTTGCCCTCCAACGACTTAATGATAGCCCTCAGTGTATTTGCGTCTCCGCAGAAAAGACAAAGGATCAATAACAATAACAGTAGAGGAATAAAATCCTTAAAAAAATATGCTGTGTTTGATAATTGAGCTGCAGCTGTGAGCATTAGCTTCTAGAAGCCGTCTGTGTTTTATCCACTTTATTCTAGTTAAAAGTTCACCATCAAACACCAGGCATTGTTTTGGAGCAGTCATCGTATCCTGGTTTGTTTTGCCCCGCAGGGCGTCTTCTGCTGTGTTGTAGTAATTAAACACTATCTGTTTGGCTCAAAAACTCAGGGATATTCATAAAGCCAAAGCATGAGGAAATTCTCCTCTATCTACAGATCTGACGTGGAAAATGTCTTCTATCCATTCAGGCTCTGCTGTCAGTTTTATAACAGCATTTATTTTAGCATCTGCTCCAGTTGACAGTTTTTTTTTTGTATATGAAAAAAAAAAAAGAAATGAAATGAAAATTACATGAAGAGACACCTTCCAGTCACTGGCAGCCAGTGACATCGTTGCCAAAGTTTCGTCAAGTCTTCTGTCCGCACCAGAAACTTATATTTCACAGGACGCTGAGTCATGATGATGACTTACAGGCAGGTGGTTGTTATGACAGACTGGTCAGATTTTTTTTGACTCATTAGTTCACGCACAACACCAGCTGTATCATGGAGTGTTTCACAGGGACACTTGTGTTTTCACTGCAGTGTGATAAAAAAAATATATGTCCAACTTGATGATTTAAAAAAAAGCTGATTAACATTTTAAACTGTTTGGTCTAATTAAATATGCATTTTTTTTTCAACTGTTCAATTACATATTGTCACCAAGCTCTTTTATAGAGATCTTCTGAAGTAAATATATATATATATGTATTGTTCTATGTATTTAGGGAAAAAGGTACCATGTAGGGACCAAACAATGAATGGAATTACAGTGACTTTTGGGCCTCATCAAAGTCCATCACAAGTTTAAATTATAGCTTTTCAAATTTGTCTTGTCATTCACTGGAATTGTCGTATTTTTTATGGGATGTCTCTCAAATCACACATTCTGCCGACAGCGACATTTGTTCCCACATTGTGTCCACTCCTGACATCAGAGCTGATCTCTGTTACACCTGCAGAAAGCCAGCGTTTGTTTCCTGCAGTGGTTGGATTTTTTGTTTCTGTCCAATTTGAGGATTCATTGCTTTACAAAGGGATTCTGACGGTAAGCAGGAATTGTCAGAGCTGATCAAAACTATGTAGGTCATAATGACACAGAGAAATATCTGGGCTCCTCTGAGGCTCATTTTGGGCCAGGATACCGCCAGAGACTTGGAAGATAGAGGTGACAAGGGCGTTGAAGTCAAAAGTAGAAAAAGTTATAAAATAAAAAAAATGAAAACAAAGAGTTGGGCAGGGATATTTGTTGTTGACGTCTAACTGGAGAACAAGGGTATTCATATTTTCTTTCATGGATAAACAAGTAAGTTTGTCTACATTACCAGGAACAGTTCATCAACAGGCCCACCTCAAGTGTCATCACTGCTGGAAACACACAGCTAAACTTCCTGGGTTACAAGGACAAAGTCCCAGCTTAAGTTGAAACGCTTTGGTGTAGTTTTTGTCCAATAAGCAACTTTCACAAGATGGATTGTGGCGAAGACAACCCACCGACTGAAGTACAGTGAATAACTCAGAGCCTCAAAATCTCATTAAGATCAAGTGTTTTTAAGGAGCCTTTGTCTGCCTGAATGTCCGTTTTTATCAGTTTAAACATGAGTATGGGAGCAATGAATGGATTTGCATTTCTGAATGTCACAGCCGCTACGGCGAGAAGTACTTTTCAGCAAAGTGCCCTGATTAAAAACAGCAGCCAGTGGAATTTACACCATCATCATCATCATTACAACCCACTGTGGCGACCAAAATTATGCTGATTCAGCAATGTCACTAGGCAAAAAATCCAAAGACAAAAAATGGTAATGTGTTTCACAACACTTCAAGACAAACACTAAGAAATCAGCCAGACATTTCATGTTCTATAAAAATGAATTCAAACCCTGTGGTGACACTCGTGTCTTCACCCTAATGAGTATTTTTTCTTTTTTTATTATTTTAGTAGCTCAACAATGTCAACAGTTTGGATGAATTTAAACACTGATTAGCAAATGCCTTAATCACATTTTTATGGCATTATTTATTTTAGAGGAATAAACCAGTTTGTTAATTGCCTTTCACTGACAAAACTCCTTTTGAATCAATTATAAATATATACTTCCTGGAAAGTAAAGGTTAAACTCTCTGGGGCAAAAAAAAAAAAAGAGGGCTGAGTCACAACGAGCAGCAGAAAAATACAGTACGTTCTAATGTATGCCTTCAATAATTCAGCATGGCTCATTGAGGATGTTATAAAAGTTTAACTGGCCTCTGATAGAGGAAGAATGTTCCCCACCGCGGCTGTTGGGGAATTTTCAAAGAGAGGGATGGGAGATGAGGCACTCAGAGCAATTTAAGTCGAAGAACAAAACAGGAGAGCGGGACATATCGAAAATAGTCCTGGTGCGTCCGAGAAAATGAGTAAGAGAGAACCAGGTTTGATGGCAAGTCTGCAGACTGACAGTCAGAATAGAGCGATAGAAAGATGGATGAGTAATGAAGGAGAATGAGCAGGAAGGCTGCATCTGCAACACTGGAAGAGGAAATGATTCCGGAAGCAATACATGGAAGAAAATAGAGGGAGGACAAGAAGAAATGTCATTTAAATGAAGACATGAGGAATATAAACCTGGGAGAGGTTTGTGTTCAGCGCTGTGTAACAGGCCACAGATCCGTTCCGGGCGGCGGGAGGATTTTATTTAGAAGCTGAAGGTTGATAATGTTGAACTGTTGCTATTTTTTTTTCTTTTACTCTGTTTTCCATCTCTAGACGCTGGAAATGAAGAAGCTTTGAAATGTTATCTGTCTCGTCCTGAAGGGGCCATATCACACACTCACACTCACTCCTTGAGTCTCACACACGTTTACCAACACACACACACACACACACACACAGACCACCTTGGGTTTTCAGTTAATGTCACCCAGATGCTGGGCCTGATAAATGACATTTGGTCTTCTGCTCAGCTGCTGTCTGTTACCTGAAGCATCTGCTGCTTGGTGTCAGCTGTGATCATGACACGTGTGCATGTGTGAAGGCAGGATATGACTAAAAAAAGGTAAAAATGTTCTCTTACAGTAGTCATTTTCTTTGTATCACCAGAAAATTAAAATTATTTAACAATATAGTAATATATTTTAGGCACCAGGTAGTTTAACACTTCATTGTAAAAAATATATATTTATATATGTATATGTATGTTATTGTACTGTGGATTACACTACTACTACTACTACTGCTGGAAAAAAAATGTAATTAAAGCAAATATATGCTTTTGTCAACATTCCATTACTAATAAAGTACACTTGACAAAAAATACTGTTTTTATCTAGTTTCTATACAAATGTTGAATAAAAATAAAATCCGATTAAAGTAATTTTTCTTAATTTCTTGTTTTTTTTTATCACTGATTTTACTGTGTATACCACTATAAATGCGGCGTAAAAACGTTTTTGAAACAGTGATTTGTGAAAAAAAAATCCGACATCTTTGCCTGCAGTAGTCTTTTTGAAAATGTGCTCCACACATGACATCTTCATCGACTGACAGTGAACTGTGATCTTGCCTCTTCACTAACGCTGCTCTGTTCTTGTCTCAAAAATTTGACTTTAGATCAGGGTTCTAACAGCCGTTCTTCTGCCTCAAGTGGGAAACGGACCCACTCTCTTTCCATGTACTTTTTTTAAGATATGCCCTTAAGTCATTTGTATTCCGATGTCCTTCTTTGCCCTGCCTTTAGACCTTTCCGTTTTTCTCAGCAATTTGCCTCAATCTTGGAACAGCAGCGCCACAGGAATATTAAGAACCACCTCATGAATTTTTTAACCTCCCCTCCCCCCCAAAGAAAAAAAACTGAAGTGTTTGGATTGGCAGCCTGGGTACTGTGGGTAAAAAGTGGCTCTTGTCCTACAGGCACATAATCAAGCTCTCAGAAGAGAATGAACAGGCAGGAAAAAATGTCAATCACATGCAGAAGTGTGGTGAGAAAAAAAGACAAGAGATTGACGGAGAGAGCTGCAGAAGGAGACAGGCTGAGAAATGAGTGCTTGAATTGCAGACAGACCCTGTCAGTCCCACAGGGCTGAGGCGAACCAGGGGTTTGTTAAGCAGCAGGAGGCTGGTTTGCACTTTCAATTATGCATATCATTAAGTGTACCGTTCACTTGGTGGTAACTCTGGGGTGTTGCATGTGCAGCACCATTAACCAGCTGGTTAACGCTGGATCAGCGTTTGTTTGAGGTGTGAAGCAGAAACACAACTGTGTTCATGTGGTCTACACTGCAAGACCTCCAAAAAAAAATTCTATGCTTTGACACGGAGGTGGATGACGGTGTAGGATGTCAGGCAGAGTCAATATATGTGCATGTGATAGGATTGTGGATTTCAACGAGAAGAAACTGACACATTTACTGTATTTTTATATGCATACTGTACGGCTGTTCCTATGGCAACTGTCAAGCCAAAGCAGCAGGTCAGTGGTGTGTTATCACTTCATGGTGTTTAGTCAAGAAGCAGAGTTGGATGAGGAGAAAAAGTAGAGAGAGAAAAAGTACAGAAATGAAATGGACGTTTGATAAGAAGCCGGGAAGATTGTTTATTTTCCTCTGATTACAGCACTTGATTGACATTTCCCCCCTTTTTTCATTATTGCATGCATCTGTGTGTGGCTCTTGTGTGTGTGTGTGTGTGTGCGTGTGTAGCTTGCACTGACGCAGAGCTTCACAGCCTGGCTGCCAGACTGAAGGACTGGTTCGGAGTTCTTCACCTCGATGCCAACAGAGATCTCAAATCCTCTGACAGCTCAGACTCCACTGCAGGACGTGAGTGTAATCCCTCAGCAATATATGAATCTGTCGGTGTGTGTGTGTAGTCTTTTCCTGTCAAACAGCCACACTCCCTTCATGATGGCCGGCTGACAGTAATGTTGACAGTGTCCCTCCTCTGTTCTCAGTGATGTCGACATGCCTGAACTCATCTCATGTTCTGTAGCTTCACAAAAACTTGCTCAATATTTTTTTTTTCTCTTCATTTTCTGAATCTCTTCTCCCCTCTAGATTTCGACACCAGCATCCTGCCCATATGTAAGGACTCTCTGGGCTGGATGTTTAACAAACTGGACATGAACTTTGACCTCCTGCTGGACCAATCAGAGCTCAGCGCCATCTACCTGGACAAATATGAGCTGTGCATGAAGCCCCTCTTTAACTCGTGTGATTCCTTTAAAGATGGGAAACTGTCTAACAACGAGTGGTGTTACTGCTTCCAAAAACCTGAGGGTAAGAGAGGTGTGAGGAGGAGGGAGGTCCGAATTTTTTTTTTTTTTTTTTGTCTTTTTTTGTTAAAGTGATTTTATGACGTTTTATGTCTGGAGGCGAACCCACAACCGACCTTTGAATGTACCACAACTGTACTAGCTATTAAGCTACAGCCATACCGTCCGTGGGATATTCTCTAAAAATGAACAACAAAAGTACGAGAACAAGAACAAAGAAAATATTTTCAGTGATTTTGTCGGACCATCTTAATTGCATTTGTAGAAAAAAATTTCCTTTTTTTAAGGAGGAGGAAACTTCACCAGCTGTTAAAAAACCTTTCAATCTCCTGTTTTTTTTACAACTTCCTTGAACCAGTTAAAAAAGTCTACTGCTGTGCATCACGTGTCATCGACCCATTTCAGTCCCAGTTACTGAAGATGTGAACCCACGCTTATGTGACATGACAAAACTTTCTAAAGTCACTGTAAATACATTTTTTTAAAGTTTTTTTGGCCACTTTACAGCCCAATTTTACTGCAGCTATCGCAGTTTGAAAATATATAAATAAATATGAGCGGCCGTGTACAAACCTCCAATCTTACCTTGCTTATTTAGGGGAAAAACAATGTTGTAAATGTCAGCTAACTTTTAGGTGATTTATAGGTTTGATGTTTGACCTACTCCACAGCAGCACGCCCAGGTTCTCTGGACCATTTGTCCTGTCAGATCCACTTTTTCCTGTGTATTGTATAGATGTGAGGGTGAATCTTAATGTTTATTAATGATTTGTGTCTGGATCTGAAACTTTAATGCTTTGATTGAATAGACTGCAGTTCCATCACTGCGTCTACAGGTTCTAACATTGTGCTGAGGGAAGTTAAGTTGTCATCTAATTTAGACTGTGTTTGATGCCAAGCAGTAACATTTTGTTGGCATAAAAGTGCTGTAATGAAAAAAGTTTTTTTATGTTTCCTGTTTGCAGGTCTTCCTTGTCAGACTGAGAAGAGCAGGATCCAGAATCAGAGTCGAAGGAAGAGCCTTATTGGTTAGTCCGGACGCCAATTCTGACTTAATCTAAGTCCTAAATAGGAGTGTGGAACTGTTTTCATTTTTGTTTTAAATTAATTGTTGACTAAAATGCAACGTGTAATATTTTTAATGTTCAGTCTTCAGTCTAAATTGAGATGACATCATTTAAACTGTATTTAAATGTAATATTTATGTAACATTATCATTAATATCTCTTTTGTTTTCTATAGTACTGTATGTACAGACTAACTCATGTAGGTGGTGGTTGTGGAAGGGGGGGGGTACGCTTGGTGTCACACCAACTGTTTTAGCAGCAAGCCTCCTCAGCTGCTTTGTCAGTTTGTTTATTTATTTATTTTTTCTTCCTTTGGATCAATTCTTCCTCCTGCAGGGAGGGAAAGGTTTTTTAGTGAATGCATATTTATTTTGGGAAATACATAGATATCACCAGAAACCGTGGTGCTACATTGTTGCACCGGAGCATGCAGCTGGTGCAAATAAAGGGAAACAAAACAAATATCTCCCACACATTGTGAAGCCTCGCAGCACACAGAGTCAGGGTGACACTGAACATGTTAATACCCTGAGTAGGTGTGTGTGCTGTGCAGACTTTATTTGTCACTGTACTTAATACTCGGAAGGAAACTTGTCCTTGGCTTCTCAGGCTATCCTTGGAATGGATTTTTGTTTATGAAATGCAGCCATGCCCGGACTGGGATTTAAACCCACGACTCAACAGCCATGCCTTATTCATAATACCCTAGGCCCTGGCCCAAAAGTTATATAAAAAAACTTGGCTAAAGTAAATTCTCATCACTGTGAATGAACGTCTAAATCCCCAGGATGGTAACCAGTGGTCAATATCTATCAAAGTAGTCACATTCTCTGTCATCTTGTTTAAACTTTATCAAACTTAAACCCAATTTGGATAAAAATGTCTGTGATCAGTGCAGCTCTAAAGCTACTGCTTTGCAAATCATTTCTAGTTTAAACATTTTTCAGAAACTTATTCTTATTCTTATTAGATCAATATCTGGATATTACTAGTCCTGAGTCTTATCTGCTTCTGTCTTCTTATCACTGCTTGAATTTTCCTCATATTTTCAGGCTCTTATATTCCTCGCTGTACCGATGAAGGTTACTTCAAACCAACCCAGTGTCATGGCAGCACCGGTCAGTGCTGGTGCGTAGACAAATATGGCAATGAGATCGCCGGCTCCAGGAAACAGGGCAACCCCAACTGCGGTAAGACCTCAAGTTTGTTTTAAGCTCCCATTCGTCTGTCCGAGTTTCCCATTTATTGCTTTGATGCAGTAAGATGATTTAATCCAGAGTCAAATTTGTTTTATTTCTTCGCTCACTACCTCCGCAAAACTGATCCTTTAGGAAGTAGATAACATTAGGCAAGCCAATTTGATTGTATCTGCTTCAGATGTTTTGCACGTGTAACTTTGATAAAAGACCCGTGTCCTGCAAGTCTGGTGGTTAAAAAAAATTGTCGCACTTGTCTGCAGAGATAGTTTGGGGAAAATATGTATTCATGGCAGGAGTTCAGTTTAACCTTGTCGACAGGAAGAGACAGGAAACAACATCAAACAAGCTGCAGCTGACGGTGATGGATTTGGACAAAGAGTGCACAGTGAAGTCACGGTTAGGCGGCCATTCCCCTTGAATTTCCCCACGCTGTGAAAAGACCAATAGATGCACTCTGCTGCAAATCAATGGTCTCTGGGATTTAATAGTGTGGTAAAAAAAAAGGACAATAATTAGCAGGAGAGAATTCAGAGAGACATACTGATTACCAATCAAACAGCCAACTCATGGTAACAGAACAGCCCCACTCCAATACCAGTCCAGTCCAAAGCCAGTAATTGCAGCTTCCACTATTGATGACTCGTCTCTACTCATACACGCACACACCAACACACAGCGGCAACTCTTTGTCTCCAGTTTAACAAGCTTAAGTCTAACTCTGGCTGAATGGCCTCAGGCCAGAACAGCCTGGACTCCCATCTGGCCCTGAACACAACAAACAGGCAGCAAAGCAGAGGCTCTTGACACGCGGCTCTAAAGGACATCAAACTGATTGTAACAAGGTGATTGCCACTCAGCCGGAGTACATTTATACCCAGGTGTGAAATGGTTCTCTTGAACAGGAGGATTTTTAGGGTCAACGTTTTAGAAAGTGCTGAAGGCAGCAGCTGAGATAATGACTCCTGTTTGCTGTGACGCTGCACAGGAGTCTTCATAAAAGCATAAAAAAAAGCCTTTTAAAATGTTTGCAGGTGAAACTGGATGAAATTGACTTTACCTTGACACCACTGTGACTGGATAATTGAACTCAGTACGGAGGTTTAAAAGAGAAATCTGATATTTTTTTCTCAACAAAGCATTTTAATAAAATGTCACTTGTCCTTGTTAGGCTGTAAAAACAAAAAGAACACAAGAGGTTCAACCTGGACAGCATGGTTGATAATTGCAGCATGGCTGTTACAATGCACATCTATTTATTAGTCTTTAAGAGCCGTGCATTTTCCCCCTCCTGAAATTCTCAGAATATCCTTACAAGTACGATGTAACATTAACGATTGTTCAAAAATTGTTTGCACAGGTAGCTCTCTTTCACTTACTTTTGATTAAGGTTCTCCAAGGGGTCTACACAGTAGTTGTTCCATATCCTCCTCCAGTGACGGAATGTAATAGAACGACAATTGTAAAGCTAATTCCATGTTGCATGATATTGTTCTGATATTTTATGAATGGTAGGAGGCAAAAAAGGCATGATCCTGGTGTACTTTCTGTCACCTCAGTTTTACTCTTCAAGTAGAGTATCTTGTTTGTTCTGATCCTTTCACTTCTCACAGTTTTCACCAACCACAGACAACAAAGCTACATGTTTCATTTCTAAGAGCCAGAACCTACTTGTCTTTTTTGTCTCATCACACAGGGATATTTTTGAGCTCCCAGACAATTTGCTTATGATTTCTCCTCCTGTTCTTAGATGAGGACCATGAGACATCAGGGGATTTTGGCAGCGGCGGTGCAGTAATTCTCCTTGACGATCAGGAGGAGGAAACATCACCAAGTGTCCGCAGCCGGCAGAAAAAAAGACGGGGTCGGATCCATCCCAGAGGAACCATCGAGGACGACGAGGATGAGGGAGACGACAAGGATGATGAGATCGGCTATGTTTGGTAGCTCTGTTTCCTTTTACTCTGCCATCAGCCTGACCAGGAAACTCCGGTAACTCAGCACAGATCTGAAGCCATTCCAACGTCTCCTCCTCCACTTACCTTGGCAGCAGTTCTTATTTTGGCTCCTGAACTTACCCTTGTAATCCCTGTCTCCTATTCAGATCTGTCTCTCTCTAGTCCACCCCCACTGACATCTTCCTTTTCAAGTTATCCTGAGACAGACAACAGAGAGCCTATTAGATTTCACCAACTGTCAAGCACTTGATAGATTCTGTCCACGTTCTGCTTCTACCTTCCCTCAGACCTGTGATCTTTGCCCTCCCCTATCACGGACATGTCTCTGTTCTCTTCATCACTTCTTCTATCCTCTTTAACTCACTCTGTCCTTCCCCCATATGGGTACATCCACGTGAGAGGCTCCTGGACGGTCTGTGAGCCCTGATGCCATGTGTTCCCCACAGGAAGACCTAAATGAGGTTCACCTCTACTGTACTCCTATCATAGGTCCATTCTTTATTCATCCATCCTCTATGTCCTGGTGTCAGACTCCTTTAAGAGTTCATTAATGTTTCGATAAATCACACAAGACTCTCTTCCTTTCGCCTCTCTCTTGCTCTTTCTCTCTCTCTCACATGGAGGATTGTAAATTATTTAATCGTTGATCTTGAATGTCTAAGAAAGGCCCAGGAAACAATGAGATTAATGATGTATTGTCGTTGATGTTGCATGTTTCTCATCGTGTTTCTGTAAAAGAGAGATTCCCTGGCCAGGTCTAGCTCTATGCATCTCAAACAGAAATTGATACCTAATTGGCTGCTACAATACTTTGTTGCTATGTCGATGCTGTCTAGTGTTTTTTTTTTTTTTTTTTGGTTCCTCTCTCAAACTCAGGAGATGGGAAGTTGCATTGCAAAAGGTTTTGCGGTGGGGAAAAGTAAACTGTAATGCCTACAGTCCCAGTCTGTGGTGTAGCAGCCATCAATCCATTTGCTAATTGTTCAGTGGGGGCTGCTGAGGCTGTTTGACTGTGCATGGACACTGGAGGAAAAAAGCGGCTCCTGAGCTGGGAGGACACATGAAGTCGGACGAGCAGAGAAGAGGCTCTGCTCTGTCTCACAATGTCGGATAATGTCCAGTAATTTGAATTTAAAACCTTCACCACGTCAAATATGTGAACTTTTATTTGTAAATTAAAAAATTTAATTAAAGTGGCACTTGGGGTGTCTTTTGAACCTTAACAGTACTGTGTCTCCCTTTTCTGATGTTTCTCTGATCTTTGTAAAGAAAGCAACGTATATACAATTGTTCTCTCGGGGGGTGTTATGAGACATGACCTTAAAAAAAGTCTTTCTCTGACTTCAGAAACATTTTCTGGTCTTAAAGTGAGCTTTTAGTCTTCTTTTCCCCCCCAAATCTCAGATGTCTCTACAATAGTTCAGCCAAAGCCCTCCATCAATTCTGACCTTTTCCAACCTTGAGAAAATATCCTCTCCCGTCAGAGGCAGAGGCAGCAGAGCCTCCTCTTATCACACGCCTTTTGAGGAGGCAGAATCACAAAGCAAGCAGAACCCCAAAGAACATAAAAGCTTAATGAGTGTTTTTGTAAAATCACCAGGTAATGGGACAGCTGACGCAATTGGCTTGAAACAGCTCGTTCAGCACTTTGAAAATGCACTGTACCAACAGTCAGATACTTTGAGGACAACTGAATCAGCTTAATAAGCTGTTCACAATGCATTTTGTCAGATACAACAGACGATGGCTTTAACAATGTGCATTAAATTAAATCAAGAGCTGTGGACCTGGGCATATAGTCATCCAAGTGTGGAAATCCTGCTGGTGTAGTATCTCTCTGGCAGACCTCAGGCCAGATGACTGTAAAGCCATAAAGATAATGTCTCCCTCCTTCATCACTATGTGTCTGCTGATTTTTATCCCAGTTTTTTATCTACGTTATCCTCCGCTACTGCCTCGCCACACATCACAAACACAGCAAAGCTTTGGGAGCTGCCACTAAAGTCTCACAGACACAAAGGTGTCAGACATCACAGCCTACAGAGTCTGGAATCCATCTTTGGACCATGTCCACACGGGAACGTTATTGGGTCGAAGTGGTAAAGTATGTTATCGATATGGCCTTTCATACACATTGCACCAGCATTCTGGGAGCACTGCAACAGTATTTTCTGAGGACCAAAAATCTGTGTGAATGGCTGTTTGTCCCACATGTGATAAAATATTAAATGGTAGAAAGAAAATGAGTGTCATTAAGAGAATGATTAATGTAAAGTCAGGTCATCAGGTCTAGGGATATCCTGATACCATTTTTGACAAATGGCTACATGGACAAGTACTTTCATTTGTGTACTCACTCAATATCAACTAGCAGTACTGATACTTTTTAGGTTGGGTTTCAATAGATCTGCAATCAGCACTGATACTACTAATGGTATTTCATCCATATTAAATGTTTCTTCTTCTCCTCCTTTTGATTGCTCTCTTCATGGTTCACCACAGCAAATCTAATTACCCCATCCTTTATCCCTTACTTCCTTCGCCATTACACCAACTATCTTCATGTTCTAATTCATTGGATCCTTAAACTTCTGTGACCAATGTCCATCTTTATAATCTCTGACCTTAACTGTCTTTCCTACATTCATATTTCTAACTCTTGTCTTGATTTGTCCCAGTACAAAAATCTGAGCATATTTAACTCTACCACCACCTATTAAGTTTCCCGTATTTTAAAATTGTTCCACTGTTTTCAAACCATAAATCAAGCCAAAGTATTCCCAATTTCTAATCACCTGACAGCTAATTTTACCTCCTAACCACCAAACAGGTGGTGTGCCCACTTTTCCTGGCTGGGAACACAACCACACACACAGTCAGAGTATTAATTTTACACAAGTGACTTATTTCTCCAACGTATGGTTGTGGTATGATTGTGTTTCTCTTCTTCAATTCTCTGCTGGCTGATTTTTTTTATTCGCCAGCTCCTGTCCTTTGTTATTAGTCCTTCATTGACTGTGGGAAGGTGACTCTAAATGAGCAGTAGTTGAGGAGCAGAGATGTGATGTTTTGTTTTTAAAGTAAACAAGGAGTTATCTTTCAGTCCATTTGTTTTCTGTCACTATATTTCAGCTCGCTGGTAAATCGCTGTATCATTTTACTGTTTATCATTGAGGAAATGCACAGAGGAGAAATGTTTTTCAAACCATTTAACGCACTTTCATTTCAGGGTCGCCGAACATCCAGAACTGGTCCAGAACATTTGGTGCAGTATACCACAGACCAAGTTGTCCCACTTGTACCAGATGTTTTACCAAATACTGTCCTTCATCATGATCCTTTGGAGGCGGCCATAACCTTCCTCTGTTAGAATTTCACAAAAGGTATTATTGCAAATACAAAGTAACAAAGCAGTAATTCGTATTACTTTAGTCCATGGGGACTCAAAAAGAAGTTCCACAAAGACATTTTTCAATTAGTCAATGGTCCTGTGGTAAGATGAGGGACTTAGTGCCATAAAATGGCCATGCACATGCATGCATGATCCATTTATTCCATTTTCTCGAAGTGATAATACTGTCCTTCGACAAAAAAAGAAAACACGTACTAACAAAATTTCCATTATGATAGATTCAAAAATTATACTAGAAAAACGAAAAAATAAATGCTGCAAATAACCCACAACGATGCTCAAGTCAGATTTATGAATGTCAACCAAGAGAAACAGAGGTGAGTGAGGCTGCAGAAACTCACCGACCCTTATGAGATCACAATGGAACACAATGGTAAAGAAACTGTTCATGTTGCAAAGCACTTGGAGTATTATTTTAAGCATGGCGATGGTCTAATAGTCTCAAAGCATGTGCAGCACATGTACTTTACAAATGGGAACGATTCTACTGTGTAATTTTCTTGAAGAGAGAGAATTTTAAGCCAATCGCAACACTCATCTGGTGAAGGCACCCTGGAAGTTCATCAGTTCTAAATTATGAAGGCACCCTGGAAGTTCATCAGTTCGTCACAGAGCTTCACATTGTCAAAATGTTCAATAACTTGTACTGCATCGACTACATATGAATACTAGGACTTCTAGTCAGCATCATTTTGCATGCTCTCAAGGGGGACACATGCACCATCCTGACACAGGGATTACCTGAAATAAGCCCTGTGTCAGACCTGCCTGATTAGCATATCCTAGTGCTAAGGTCTCTGAAGACTCTAAGGTGCAGAGTGGTGCTGGTCCTTTGAGGTAATTTTTAATTGTAGCTGTTTGATCATTGACCAATTAAATCCTACCTGACAGAATAAAAAATCTGCACTGGCCCGAAGCCTTATGACCAGATTTGGGGATCTCTCGTCTACTGGGTCCTCCTGTGTAATTAGCAGAGACATTGGATAATCTGTGGTTAATCTGGCACAGCTCACCACTCCTGCTCAAACGCTCACTTTGAATGCATGACTGCCACTGTACCGACCGGCTTCTGGAACGTACGAAAAATTTCAAACCCCACAGATCCCCAGGTGGAGGATTTATGGATCAGTTGCTTCGGTGTGGTAAACAACACATCCCTAAATTTAGAATTTAGAGAGAGATCATACCCTACACTCTGCCAAAGGGTCCCTCTAATGGCACTAAACTGCTGGTTGAATTTGTCTGCTGATTACAATAAACAGAAAACACTCCAGTGTCAGTGGATGTGCTGCTGGTGGAAGTGATAAAATTAATTTAAAGCTGTAGGTGAGCGTTCACGGGAGACCGAGCCAATTAGTGTCACATCACCTCTGCACCTATAGATATGTTCACTGGTTTGGGTTTTTATAGCATAAAATAATTATTAAGTACATGTTATTATATTATAATTATAATGTACATTTCAAAGACAGTTTTAATGCGATTTGTTTACAGTTCCATTATTGTTTAATGCAACCTACAGAGGATTGAACTTTTATGGAGACCGTGTGTAACAACAGTGCTCTCTGGTGGTTAGTTGGCATCTGTGAGCTCAATGTATCTGATATGGATGCACAAATTATCAAGTTTAGTTTGTTAAACAAAAACCCACTTTCCTAAACCAGTCAGTTAATACCAGAAGGTTTATTCATCACCATTGTCATGACACAATGTGTGTTTCTACATATTTATGCACATTTGCAAAATGTAGTGTGTACCAAAGCATGGAAACAGTTGCATAATAAAGACACATCACACACACAACCGTCTGTTTTCAGTGTCCTGATCAGAGGATTTATACAGTAGACCTCCTTGTCTTAATTGTTTTCATATAAAAAAAAAAACTTTGGGATATGGCTGTAGATGAAAGGCACTAGATTAAAATGCTTTCAGTTTTTGATTTATTTTTTAAATCATTACGAGAATATATTTAGCTGATAAGATCTCTACATTGGCATCAGCATCACTTCAGACCATTTACAGTAGATCTGACTTCTCATTTCACCAGCGATTGCTCTGAGCAGCCATTTCTAGATCTATGATCCGTGGTAGGCGACCACTGGCGCCGCCCTCTAGGTATCCAGACTTAACTGCGGGAGTGTCTGAGAGCCTCCTCTTGCATTTGTTCAAGTCTGCAATTAATTAGATGGAAAATGATCGTCATATTTAAGTACAAACACTGTTAAAATTGAAAACAGAGTTTAACATATATACTTATATGTATACATGTATGTACTGCATGTATGAACATGTACATTAGATTCTCACCTGAGATCGCCAACAACATTTTACGTCTTGCTCCAAATGTAGAGACACCCACTTCTTTCAGATCTTCATCGGACAGTGTGAGAAATGTCTGATAGTCAATCTGCATTTAAAAACAAAATATTGAATTTCTGTGTTTTATGGCCAACCATCCACCACTGAATTTCAATGCTGCATTTTACTCAAAACATGTATTAGTCACAATCCTTTTGTGAATTTACCTCTTGTTGTTCAAACACATCAATGTACTTCATTAACCCAAGTTGACTGAGAAGCTCAGCCAGGTCGTCCGTTATTTGAGGGGAGGGGCTTCGCTGACTGCAGGTGGACGCCCTCCTAGATGAGGACACGCCCTCGAAGTAGCTGCAGCTGCTGCTGCTCAGAAAGCCATCATTTCTGTTTCTGTTCACTGACGATACAAGCGCAGGAAATGAGGAGGTGGATGAGGAGAAATTTGAGGGAGGTGAGGAAGGGGAGGAAGAGGAAGAGGAAGAGGAAGACGAGGCAGAGGAGGAGAAGGAGGAATGAATGGGTAGGGATGCAGGAGTGGATCCACGTCGGTCCCTCCAGTTGTCAGAGTCACTGCCGTTACATATCCTTCCAGTCTGATTCATCCAGGACTACAAGGTGATAGAAAGTTTTTAATTATATTTCAGTATTTAAAAAGGACATGTGGTTTAGTATGGGGAAGTTCTTGTAGTTCTTTTTGTTGCTTTCACATTTCTTTATTTTTTTATATTTAGACTAAGGAAAGTTGCACTTCCACACTGATTGTCTTTCTCATTCAATTGTTAAAGAATACATTAAAAATTAAATCCCATTAATCTTTACAAATTAATAAACGCAATTCACTGTAAACATTCATTTTGACAGCCCAAGTGGTTTTAGATGACAGCCTGCTGTTACTGCCTCCAGTGTTAAAATAATAAGGCTTGGGTTCATTTAGTACTATACTTTGTGGAACGGCTTGTTTTGAGATTCAGTTTCAGATTTTGGCCGATTATAAAACATTTACTTATTGTAGAAACTGGCAACTAAGGAGTAGGCAGACACTCAGGGAGGTAAATGTGTGTACCGAAACACTGACAAAGTCAGTTTTGCATAATATGTCCCATTATTTGAAAAACCTTAGGTTTAATTAATTCGATTCAACACAGTAATGACACAGAGTTTATTTTCCCTGTGCTCAGCTCGAGGGTTACTGTGGGACCCAGCAAATCTTGCTTTAAGCTATACTCCTGACTTTCGTTAGCAGAAGCTTGCCCATAATCGCTCAACTGGGTCTTTGTGTGTATCAGTGTGGCACACTGAGTGGTAAGAAAGCAGCCGTTTATGTTCCGTAGGGCTGCAGCAGTTTCAGGTAAACAGGTTGCCATGAGGTGTTTGTGTTGACCGAGGAGATGCTATCAGACCCCAGGAAATTGAGCGTACAAATTGGCTGTGCTTACCCCACACTGAGATAAATGCTACAAACTGTTAGAAGGCAACACTAATAAATGAGGCTGTCTAAGTAGGTCACAGCGGGGGGTTCTTTTTTACACTTTACTGCAACAAAAGACAGTTTGATGCTTTTAGCAAATTCAGCAGAAATAAGCGGGTCAAACAAGTAAAGTCTAACAACAACCATCCGTACCTGTTGCTGGCTGCTGCTGCTGCTGCTGCTGCTGCTCAGATAAGGTTTGTAGCTGCGGCGGCTCACGTTGCGCAGCTCTTTGACAGCTTCTGCTGGCATTGATTTGGAGAAACCCAGGCCGCTCCAAGTGTCTGTGGGAGTCCGGACCTCAGTGACCACCGGCTTCCTCTGCATGGCTGATGTGTACATGCCACGCAAAATAAAGTTTATAATAATTGTTGTATTAGATAATACACAAAATAAACACATTATTATTAGTAGTATAAAATATTTGGGGAAAATACAATATAGAAAAAACAATTCATTTTGGAGTGAAACGGCTTGAATTTTCCTTCTTTTTAATTTTTCTCCATGTCTTCATGTTTTGTTTTGTCAGCTGGACAGTTTGAAGTTGAGAACAATTCACTTACAGACAGGGATTCGTACCAGCAAATTTCCAATTACTCTAAGATCTCTGAGACTTCATAAACCTTTAGAGTGTGATTTGAGGTTCATTTCAGGTTTATTAGCCTGAGCCGATGGCAAAAATACACTTAACAAAGCAAAGAAACTGTAATTTGTTGTTGTTGTTGCTGAGAATGTGACAGCAATAACACTGATATCTTTGAAACCAAACAAAAAGCTGGAACTAATATGGAAAAGTTAGTGTTCGGCTTGTTGATAATATCACAGCTGTTTCGTCCTTCTGTATCTGTCCCTGATTGGTAGTTGATCACCCTCACCTGTGTCCTGTCTGTCCCATTAGCCTCACTAGTCTCACCTGGTGTTCTGAGTATAAATATGTAGATACCCCTCGCCCTCACTCTGTCTTCTTGGTCTGTTCGTTGTTTGACTAATGTGACTGAGTTACTTTCTCTGTGGTTTACTGTTTAGTTCCCCAGTCCTGTTTTAGTTAACCCCAGTGTTAGCTCACACCCATTTCCAGTTTTGTTGGACTAATTTAATATAACAAGGACTAAACCTGATGATTTCTGCCTCAGTCGTGCTACACGTCCGTCCTGCCTTCGTCTATTCGCCTCAGGTAAACACTGTCATATCATTACCAACTGTGCCTTTTATATAAACACCTTGTTTTATTTCAATACTACTATATAATATTGATTATAAAAAAGTATAAACAAAGTTAAAAAAGTAAAGCTAAACATAAATCGGCCTGGGTCACTTCGATGCTCTGTGTGTCGTGCAAATATGCTCATATTTTAGCCGGTCCGTCACAGAATTAGATTTCAGGTGTTTTGTGTCTTCCTTGATGTTCACAAATGAACAGGATGAGTTCAGGTGATGAATGGATCTCCAGAACGCCCGTCTGGGTACCAGCATGTGGCACAATTAATATAGGGCCAAATTGCTCAAACTGAGATGTATACACACACATACACACACACACACCAACCTAAGACCTGGTGTGTTTTCACCGACATGGTTTTCATGTGTAATAAAAATTGTAACGGCTCTCAACAAAGTGTACAATATCAACAGGATTATAACTGGATGATTGTCACATGGGCATCTATGTGAGTGTGTGTGTGGTTTGAGTGAGTGTTACACTCATATAGTGGCATATGGGTGTCTTAATGACTGCCAGGCAGATGGTCCATTCAGACTGCTAATTCATATTCCCTTAAAGCATTACTGAGGGAGTTCACTACCATTTGGCTGCAGCCTCCTTCTGCAGCTCTTGTTCTTTCTGATGGATGAGGTGTGTCTGTGTGTGTGTGTGTTCCTGTGTGTGTGTGTGGTTCTTCACTAGAGCTGTTTGGACCAACTGAAGCCAAAATACCTCGATTACAGAGACATTCTTTTGAGTTAACACAGCTCAGAAACATTAACTGTGAGAAGATTAAATAAAAACTCAGACAACAACTAACAACAACTAACAACTTCATCCTAACTTTATTCAGAGTCTCAGAAATGACTTTCTGCCTCATTGGGACCAGGTTTTTTTCTGTCAGGGCCACTGATCAAATTTATATATATATTAAAAATATGCATAAATAAACACACACCCATATAGACCCACACACAGACAAAATGGATCAGAATACATTGTCTTCTGCCCTGTGTGAATTAAGTTGGAGTGCCTGTGCTACTCTATTATAGTGTTGGCACAGTGCAGCCCATAAACTCTCCTCTCTTAATCAGTTGCCTTGGCAGTAGGCAGCGGTAAAACGCTTCCCCCGTCAAACCTCCGCCTCAGCTCACAGTATTAATGTGTTTCCTCTATAACATATTCATAATAGACTAAAGAGGCCACTTAATCCTACCCTAATCATTTGGCATCAAATTGTTATTTTAGAAAAAAGTTGGTTTTTCCACCCTGTGTCCTCTTGGCTGTGTGGAAATGAACGGCTGATGTACAGCGACTCATGCATGAGTACATTTCCTGCAGCATTTTCATTTGTCTATTTACACAACACAACGACTCCACTCAGTTAAATACATCCATTCTATTCTTTTTAGTTTGTGCACAGCTACTTAAATGTAAAAACAAAATCAATGTTTCGGAATTCACTGAGCTGGAAACAGAAGGAAATCTGTAGAGGAAAACTCTAGGACCACTTTATCATGGGGTTAGCTATCAAATATAAGATAAATATGTATGTCCATATACCCTATATATTTATGAAAGTATTTGTAGGCATGTCCGATATTAACTTTTTACAGATATCTGATATGCCGATATTGTCCAAAAACTTAATTTCCAATCAATCGTTATCAATATATTTGTCCCCAAACCTGAGGTAAATGTTTCAGGACCATACGTCAAATTCCAGCAAATTTGGCGAAACCCAGGCATTGTGTTATCGAAATATTTTTCCATTATTGGAGAAAAAACTGAACATGATCTTACCAATATTACATAATTATTATTTTTGATATTACAATAAATATAAAAATAGGAAGTACTAACCTCTGTTGGCCAGTAGTTTCTTTTTTTCATAGTCATAATCCTGAAAAAACAAAGAAAGCAAATGGAGCAGATCAATAATAGAACCCATGAAAGTATTTTTATTTTTTATTTATTTATTTTTGTTGTACTTTTTTGTTCTTAAGCAACAAGCATTCACTTCAAACTACTTTTTTTTAACTTTGTTAATCCTGCATCCTGACACATGGATGACAGACAATGGTGGCAGATAATAAACCAAATGTTAGTGAGATCAAGGACAATTCAACAGGATGCATAACAACACACACACACACACACAAAATCAATATTTCATAACAAGTAGTCATTCTCTGGTGACAGAAAGCAGGGAGTCCTTCGATTTCTCTTTTTCTCACCGCAGACTTGGATAAGTCACCGTGACCTTCCTGAACCAGCGCCATGTCTCTCCTCAGGCTGTTCCTCTGCTCAGCCCTCCCTCCCTCAATCTCTGTGTTCAGCAATCTGAGTTGTCCAGAAGAGACAAACACACGCACATGCATGTGTGTAAGTCAATGTGTCATAGTGAAAACAGCAGCAGTGACATGATGGAGAAATTTTAGGGTCATGGTTTTTGTATGGTGTGTACAGTACAGTATAAGGACCTGGTTGTGTGTCATTAAATTGCAGAGTAGTGCCACTTTGCAAAAAGGACAGAATGGCTGACTCAGCAAAAAGCCAAATATAAACGAGGTCAGCACACCTTAATTTGTCTACGTCAGTTTTCTATGTCACTGAAATTTATGGAATATTCTAGAAAGAGGTGCGTGTGTGTGTGTGTGCAAACTGCCCTGGGCCTGCAGCAATTACCATACTTTCTCACACTGTGAATACAAACCTTCCATCCTGGTCGCAAGAAAAGTTATTTTTAGACAGCGTCTAAAACTCTGCTAAAACCTTATTTTTTGGAAAGCAACGAATGGCAACCCATTCCCCCGAGAACGCTCACCTGTACGTTAGCGCCTGCCCAGTCGAATGTCTTCTGCCCTGTCCGAACACCTTGACACTTTCAGGGCTCTGCAGACTGCCCCTGCGTCCCATCAGCGCCGCCCTGCTGACGATCATGCCGTTACTGTTTCCATCACACACCTCAGAGGATGACGACTTCCCCATGACCTTTGAACTTTCATCCTCTGATTGACTAGACTGGTCCTCGTTTTCAAGGATCTGAGGACAGGATGAGAAAACACAGGTGTCGTTCGTCAGTGGTGTCTGTTTGTCTCCTTAATATCTGTCTATCTGTCTATCTGTCTATCTGTCTGTCTGTCTGTCTGTCTGTCTGTCTGTCTGTCTACCTTTTCCAGTGGACGGCCGTCCGTTGTCTTTATTCCTGTCCTCCCCTCATCGACAGGGGGAGTCAGGCCTGGTGGAGGAGTTGGACGGGGTTTGGAACCAGTCACCTCTGGAGTGGGAGCAGGAGCTAAATAAATATTTAAAAAATAATCCAGACGAGAACATCCATGAAGAGTTATTTCTATATAATAAAATTGTCCCATGTCCGTAAAAGGTAAAAGAAATAGACCAAAGTAAAAGAAATAACAAACAATGAAAAAAGTTAAAAGGCAACATATGATAAATTAAACAGAGGCTTGAAAATACAAACAAAAGTTTGTATAATACAAACAAAGTGAACAAATCAGTCTCCAAATAAATATATTAATTTTAAGATATTTGTGAACATGTCTCAGCTGTGGTTGTTGAATGGAAAACCCTCAGGAGACAAAGTTTACTTGTGCCTTTTGTGACCCCCGTTGGGGTTACAACCCTTCATTTCAGAAATACCGGCATACCATCACCGTACCTTGCTCTGAGAGTCGAAGCTGCTGCAACAATATATTGAGCAAATTATTGGTCAGTCCGTTCCTGGTGAGCATGGGATCAGGGTTCACTTCAATTTCCCTGGAAGTCTCAGAGGATTCCAGACCCAGGAGCAGACGACGGGCTTCATAAAGACACGAGATGTTTCTTTCCAGACCTTTGACCACTACTGACTGACAAATACACAGACCATGAAGTTTCATTTCTGCAGTCACAACAGCAAGGAAAAAGTTAACAATGGAAATGAAACATAACCTTGTAAAGTATTTTCTAATTTACTGCAGTACAAGCAGGAAAAACCAAAGACGGTATCAGTCGCAGTAAAAAATCATTGATGTTACAAATTCTATTCAAATGGAAAATCAAACGACATGAAAGCAATAGATACGTGAACAGATCAGTACCTTGCTGGTCTGCTTTACTTTGGGCTTGACACTAATAAAAACACCCAAGCTTTGCATCATCTGAGCCAGTTTACAAGGATCTGCATCTCCATCTTCACGCATGTCGAACATCAAACACACCGGCAGACAATCCTAAAAATAAACAGTTGCAGATACAGTACAAACAATTGTGTAGAGAAAAGATTTCCTCTCCCTCCCAGCAATAGTGAAAGCAAAGGCCACAGTACCATGAGCTGCTGCCGGGCCAGACACACACCATCAGGGCTGCCCTGGATCAGCAGGGAGGGTGGGCTCTGAGGGTCACTGAGGTCTGGAAGGATGATCTGGGTCTGCGTCTGATGCATGACACTCAGGAAGTGAGCACCATTCTGACCCAACAGGAAGAGGTGCTGCTGAGACGTGACATCCAGTTGAGTGGTCACTATACCCCCTGTGACCTCTGACCCCAGCAACAGGTCCATCAGAATACAAGTGGCTTTCTGCCATGTGAAGAAACGTGGGGATGTAACATAGAAATATTACCTCACACAAGAAACGTTGGTTCCAACCTTTCTGGATGATTGGGTTTGTTTGTCATAAAGTGAGATCTCTTATTGTCTCAAACTGACCTTGACTGCAGCTGCGTTGCCCTGCAGACCCCAAACGGTGCAGCAACTTCCATAGAAGGGAGGTTGGGCCTGGGGTGACACGGCCCTGAAGCTGACACTGACCCCCAGAGCCTGCACTACCTGCTGAATGAGGGGTGAACCTGCATCTGGAAGAGGCTGAGGCACCAGGCTGACTGGGAGGTCAAAGGTCAAGGACACAGGCTGCAATTCCTAGGGCAAAAAAGGTTGTACGTTCATAGAGAAGTAGAAGTAAAATGATGCTAGACGGACAAAGACAAACTGCTTTTTTTTCTTCTGACCCACATTACTGTCGCCTCAGTGATAGCCAAGCTATTCATCACTTTATTGATCTCTGTGTCTGACATGAGCGGACAAATAAGGCGGAGGACAAATGAAAATTGATGCTGCATAAATTCTTCTTTCTTCTTCCGAAAAAATCCCTCAACTCACTCTTATTTTCCTCCTGGCTTCCTCCACTCCCTCTATGGGTCCAGCGATGGAGACCTGGGAGAAGGTGTGAAAAATAGATGGCATTTTAAGGACATTTATTCCCTCTTCCAGCAGCACATAGCAACTAAAAGAAAACACTGTTTAGGTTAGTCACCTGATTACTTTTCTCTCCTGCTATACTGTGACGGTTGGAGTCAGGGAAATGGATGTGACAGGAAGTGATCTCCATCACCTTTCTGATGTTTCCACCGCCTTTACCGATGACGTGTGAGTGCTCTGTGTAGGCCACATCCATCTTTAGGGTAACCTTGTTGACCTGGGTTTTCAAAATAAAAGCAGTTCATCAGTCATGCATATTAGATACTAATGTTTTTTATATATTTTATTTTATTGTTTCAAAGATTTCATCAAGCCGGGATAGATGTGCTTTTATTAAACTTAAAGGATGTTTTTATTACTTTGGCCAAACACAAAAATCCCCTGGTGTTCACTTATGTAAACACTAATTCTGATTTACACAAAGACTATTATCTGAGTTACATTTGTTTGTGACATAGTATCTGCTCAGCACATTTCTTGGAAATAACTTAATAAACTCAGGCTTCACCCGTGTTTCCAACACTTCTAGAATCTTCTTTTTGGCTTCCAGGACATTGGGTCTTTTCCCTTCCACCTTCACATGTGGATCTGAGGGAAAATAGAAGATAAAGTTCATAAAACAGGCTCATGTTTTAGTTGTGACAGCACAGTTCACCAGTTTTCAGATAAAAGTACGTAAAAGCATGAGCTCACTGGTCTTCAGATAAAAGTACGTAAAAGCATGAGAAAGTAAACGCTGACAGGCTGTGTGTGCGTTTGTGTGTATATGTGTGTGTGTGTAGAAGTTTGTCACCTTTCTTTGACTTTGCTCCTATTTTTAGCTTTGAAGGCCATTTCACCTGAGTGTTAGTTTCGCTCATCACCTGTGGAAGCACAAAACAATAGTGCAGGGGGGACAGAGACAGACAGAACAACCGCAAATCACAATTCAGACAATTACACACAAAACACAGCACAGTCTCACACAACAGACCTCCTGGTTCGGAGAATACAAAGCCTGATTTCCATTTCAAAGGCTGCAGTTGCAACCCACAATAAAACCCAGTCATCACTGTATTAAAAGTATGGAAAAAGTGGAAGAAGAGTGATGTTCCTGTTGGGCTCTGATGTAACATCCATAGACCAGGAGGTGGTTTAGGTGCTGGTGATTACTGCAGACAGCACATGACTTTTCTTTGTTGTTTCCAAGCCTGTGGTTTGAAAATAAACTGATTAAAAGTCAGATGATTTACTCACTCTTTTGAAAAACTCCTCCCCGGTCTCAGCATCGACTTGCTTAGGTGCTGAAAGAGACACAAGGACAGTAAACATGAAGACGATCCAGGCTGCTGTGGGAGTGCTCACATTGTGTCCACTGTTTACAGCACAATAATATCCATACATAGAGAATGTGTGCAGAGTCAATATTTGAAAGCTTACTCGGCCCATAGCCAAGTGACTGGAACAAAAAGGTTGCCTGGGACATAAACAATTTTTAAAAGGCCATCGTTCCAGGTTGACATTTACAGGGGAGGGAGGGGTAGAAACGCCTTCACTCCCCCTCATCACTATGGGTTACGGTGGCCAAGGCCGAGGAATGGGGAGAGAATAGGACAGGGTGGCAAAAGTCTGAACTGAGAGGGGGCCACCGCAAATTATCCTGAAGACAGCTAATTACATTGACGCTGTTTGCTGACGTAAAGACCTCCCACTTGCCCGAAAACATTACCGTGATCAAGAGGCGACAATAAGAAGACAGAGGAAGGAATTTATTGTGGTATCAAATGCAGCGAGATGAGCTGTCAAGTGATTACTGCCTGACAGAGGCAACTCAAACAGCAGCACAGTTATCACAATCCAGAGCTTGACCAAGGACAAACAGACAAACATCAGCCTCCATCTGCAGCAGCAGCAGCACTGTCACAACGATTTCCCCCCAGTAACAAACATTTGTCATAAACCTGCCAGGCTGTGATAACTTACAGTGGCAGTTACCTCTGCTTCCCAGACAGAAAGGATAATAGCAAAAAAAAAAACCTTGTGAATGCATAAACAATTGCAGGTCATAAATCCTAGTGATACAGTGACAGAAGTTCACAGGATGACAGATATGCTGACGATCACAACAAGGACAGATGCAGCTGGAGGTCCAGACAGACAGAAAGACAGACAGACAGACAAGATCAGTCAGATAACATGGGCTGTGTGGAAAAATCACATAGAAATGTCCCAGTTCTGAGGCCCAGGACCACCACAGAGCAGCATCATGGGATTCCAGGTGTTTGGCAACACTCACCATACAACATGTTCTCCAGCTTCTTCCTGTCAATCCTGAACCTTTCTTCCAACCACTCGGGGTCCACACTATGCCCTCCTGCATTCTCTTGCCCAGAGCTTCCTGCTTCTGTGCTCTCCTCTTCCTCATCTTCTTTAGCCGCTGTGTCACACTGGGCCTCACTGGGCTCAGACTTCGACACTGAGTCTGGTTCTACACTAGTGTCCATGTTGGGCTGCTGCGGTGCTACCGTGGCCGGGGCAGGAGAGCTCTCCTCGGTCGTGGTGGTGGCCATAGCAGGACTGAGCCCTCGTCAGTGTTTGTGTGTGACTGAGTAGTATGTGTGCATGTGTGACCAAGGAGACCAGCAGGCAGAGAATAAAAAGGGGACAGAGGGGTAAGACCCCCACCCCACCACCACCACCACCATTCTTTAAGTTCCCCCTCCCCTTTCACTTAATTTTCTAACAAATCTTACTCTCTTTCTTTTCAAGCTGTTTGAAGATTTAAGGAAGAGGTATGGCCTTGGACTACAAAGGAAAAAAAGTCAATGATTTGCTCTGACACCAGTCACAACATCACTTTCAGTAATCTTAAACTCAGGTTCATGCAGAACACAACATGTTGTAATCCTCGGTTTAACATCCACAGGACGTGGATAAAGAAACAGAGCCTGTGAGAAGACACACATATCTGCCACACACACACACATACACACGTCGTACGGCGCACACAGCTAACCAAACAAACGTGTGCTACAACTGTCCTCGTTACTCTTCATCTAAAGGAGAAGCACAAAAGGCCTGAGATTCCAGAGGTTGGGGTGAAGGGGAATGATGGGTGAGTCACAGCAGTGACTGTCGGCTGTTTGTTCAAACGGGGAGTCAGCAAAAATAGCTTTGAATAAAAAAAACAAAAGAAGAAAACAACAACAGCAGCAGTGAAAATATATGCAATAACTGTTTATTAGTAATGCAGTGATTAGACAGAGTTGAAATGACACAGAATGGTGGGAGGTCTTGTTGAAAAAATAACTGTTCCGTAGAAGTCGTTCAAAATTTCGTATTCGTCTAACATTATTTTTTAATGTTTATTTTGGAATCCAGTGGCCTGATTAGACAGTTTGCTGGGTTAGGCCATGGGCCTCCCGTTGATAGTAACTGAGTTTTAAACTTGTGTTTTGAGTTTAAACTTAAGGCCATTCTACACTGCAGTTACAATACATTACCAGCAGAGGGTGTAAGGGGTAACTCTAAGACCGAAATATTAGGAAAACATAAAGTTATCCTTAAACATTTAGATGATTGGCATTGACGATACTGAAAATTTCAGGTTCATTTCAGGTCTGTTTTTTTTTTATTTTTTTATTTTATTTTGGTTTGTTTCTACATTGCCCTGGAAGCAAATTAGCCATAAAATTATCAAACAAATTCCACCGTACAGAGATTTTATCAACACTACAAATTACAGCAGGTAATACTTATTTGCCCAAGGAGGATGGTAAATGAAAGTCACGATGGCTGTGTCACCATGGAAACTGCTCAAAAAGTCCTTCCAAGATTACGCTGACTTTACAACTGCAGGGCCCCTCCCTCTCCAGCCCCCCAGTTAAGACCCATCTGGCTGGAAGAGTGTGTGTTTCCAGTAAGGGTCAGGGTGTGCGTCACTGTTTGACCCACTGGCAAAGCAGAGAAAAGCCAAGCCATCCTGCCGAGAGACTGATGAGCTCTGGGCACTTGGCTGAATCAACCCCCTCAAGCAGAATAACCAGAGTTCACATACAAGAAATCATACACTGGATAAAGCAGTCTCTTAATTCACCACTCCCAATGTGGCTCAAGTCTGGCCTGAGGGGTAAACCAGAGCCTGAACATTTTTAATATGGCCCCATTAAATGTGGCTCTAATTTTCCAGGAGTAATAAATAATAAATACAGTACAACACAAGTTTTTGTTTTTTTCTTGAGGTGAACTTTTTCTTATGTTTCAATGAATGAGTGTGTTTTTACTGTAGAGTCCAACTATAAAGTTATGAAAAATTGATTTATTTAATTTGGTTCATGCATTTTAATTTGAATCAAGAAAGTTCACATAATTTATTAAAAATATTTTTAAATAAAATTCAGTGGTAAATGTAGGTCTTAGAGCATATAGAAATTTACTTTTTGTTCATTTCTGAAGATGATGATTTTTAAATATTGCAACGTATAAGGAAAAACACAGATCTCTAAAACACACTACGCTTCTCCTACTTTTTCAAACAAATATTTTATTCTTTAAATATAATAAGTATGAAAAAGATAATAGTACAAAAGTGCAGACGAATCTGCTTCTGCATTCTTTTGCATATTGAGGTTGGATTCTGGCTGACACAGCTGTGCACTGTTGGAAACATGGGATGCACACAGTGGGTTATCTTTTAGTTATTCACCAAAGTGTGCCTAAGTCTAAGTCCGGGCAGAACTCAGACATTCTAGAATAGAGTTCTTTGATAGGCCTTAAGTCTAAATTCTGTGTAACAGTGAATGAAAAATATCTACATATAGTGTTAAAGTCAATGTCAGGGGCTGATTTTATTTTTATATTGCATTGAATTCAAAGATAACATCTCCTTTCTTGTTTGCCTGCTTTAAATTATTACTCTATAGCTAACTCACTGTCATATTTTCAGCTGGTTTCATCATTCTGTAGCAGCATCTGTGTGTATGAGCTGGATTAGTTGAAGGAACATCCATCTGTCTTTAACAGTTACATCTTGATGCAACACATTTGAAACTGAAATACCAATGTTTTCCATTTCTAAGATGCAATAAAGGGGAGGACATTTTGGTTTTGGACACCAGCTGATGAGCTGTCAGTGTTTTAGGTCTAGATTAAAGATAGATGAAGCCATCTTGTTGTAAATATTTTGTGCATATTTTTAGGAGGAACATCTTATGTGAGTAACCCCATACGTAGGAAGTTCTATTCACTTAAATAGACTCAAACAATAAACTGAAATTATCTGTAAACTATACACGTGTCATATTTTAACCAAAGGGTTCATCAATAAACACACTAGCTCTGTTAGTATATACAGTAAGCTATTGATGTTTACCATTTTATGCATTATACAAAACTGTTTAAGCTATAATGTAAGTTTATTAGGTGAGTATATGTTTAGTACTTGTGCCTTATCTCAGTACAAAAATATGTTTAATTTATTTCCAGACTGGTCTAATGGTAATTCTGTTATTCACAATTCCTTCTTGTAATTAGCTATTTATAAAACCACAACACAAGGAAAGAAGAAAATAGTTTCATATTCTTCCAATTTAACAGCTCAAAATATTAATTTGATGTGTTAATCCGTTATCCTGTTTCTTAGATTTGGTGTTAGTCATTTTTTCAAGGGCAGTTGTGTTGTTGTAATTTTCGCTTGTGCCGCAGAGTGACGCTGTGATTTCAAAACACACATCAACCTTCCACGATTGCGCCATTTCCGGTTTCATGACGCCACTGATCTCCTGACTGTGTTCTTGTTTGGTGGTTTAAAACTGTATCTAATGGAAGGCTCAGATGTTCATTGTCTGTTTCTGCCATGCAATAAAAATCACTACTGGAGCCTCTGAGGCCTAGACGAGTGTGAACATGTTTCCTTTGACATAGGACTCTCGTAAAGCGACAGACAAACCATGTGGAGAATTCAAGGTTTCGTCGGCAGGGGTGAGTGAAAAAGTCATTGACACAGAATGCACTTTTTAAAATTGGGCCTTTATTGGCGCTTCTAAGCAGTGGATTTTAACTTTTGGCCGGAGCTGTGTTTAGCTCACGGCTAGTAAAGGTGCTGCGTGTCTCCGGCTGACACCGTCACTTGGTTTATTTTGGGTAACGTTAGCCACAACCTCTTTCTAGAGTTGTGAGCTGTATAAACAAAAATAGAAAACACAACTTTTACATACATACTACACTTTCGCCTGTACAACGTTTTATGGTATCTGTTTAATAACATAAACGTTTACGGATTCACGTTCCATAATAAATCATGACAATAGCATCAAAGGTAGCATGGGTAAAGTAAGAGATACACTATATTACCAAAAGTATTCGCTCACAGCATGGAACTGTCCAAAATGTTTTGGTATCCTGAAGCATTCAAAGTTCCTTTCACTGGAACTAAGGGGCCAAGCCCAGCTCCTGAAAAAAAGAAAATTCCATGCTCCCAACCTTGTGGGAACAGTTTGGAGCAGGCCCCTTCCTCTTCCAACATGACTGTGCACCAGTGCACAAAGCAAGGTCCATAAAGACATGGATGACAGAGTCTGGTGTGGATGAACTTGACTGGCCTGCACAGAGTCCTGACCTGAACCCGATAGAACACTTTTGGGATGAATTAGAGTGGAGACTGAGAGCCAGGCCTTCTCGACCAACATCAGTGTGTGACCTCACCAATGCGCTTTTGGAAGAATGGTCAAAAATTCCTATAAACACTCTCCTCAACCTTGTGGACAGTCTTCCCAGAAGAGTTGAAGCTGTAATAGCTGCAAAAGGTGGACCGACATCATATAGAACTCTGGGTTAGGAATGGGATAGCACTTCAGTTCATAGTATGAGTCAAGGCAGGTGAGCGAATACTTTTGGTAATATAATGTACATTAGAGTTAATATGGCGTTAAGCTGAATATTACCAAAACACACATTAGCTATTGAGTTAATGGCATGCAATTCCCTCTGGTATGTTTGAAATGAAAAATACTGACCAAGAAACAGTCTGCAGTTAAATAACATGTGCAGGATTATTTGTTCAGTGTCTGTTAAATTTTCATTATCCTCTTTTCTATTCCACTACCTGTCAGTTTTACATCGGTGTTATGGCAGCAGCCCGCTGCGACTGCCTCAGAACCACCACGTCGAGGATGAAGTCTTCAACACCTCAGCTGTCCTCTCCACCTCCCGACACTCCCCTGACAGCAGGTATCATATCACACCTCGGTGTTCTGTTTTACACTGTTCAGATCATGTCCCTGTCTGACAAGAAAGGTCAGAATAATCATAATAAAAAGTAACGCCCTAAGCATTAGTTTGATTTTCTACTTCTGTCCTCGAAACTCGTATCCACATGAACTGGTGAAAAAAGACCAGTTAAATTACTGTGAAACCTGAAACTTCTACCATCATCCAACACACATTTTGTACTTCTTGTTTTTCACTCAAGGCCACATTTACAGGTGGTTGCATCACACAGCAGCTTCTACCATCTCTATAAACATGATCGTCTGAAGGACCGGTCATCTGTCTCTAACAGTGTTTCTGTGACACAGTCACAGTTTGGATTACAAACTGAATTACTTGAATTACAAATGTAACTGTTGTTTGTTTTTACTCTCTCAGCTCTCAGAACCATCAGGATGGAGAGAGGAGGAGGAAACAGAGGACATTTCAGTTCAACTACACTGAGCTTCCACGGTACACGGTGCTGGATGCTGTGGGACTGGTGAGTCTGTTAATGCATTGGGTTACTCCATCAACATGTTGTTAAATTATATAATAATAATAATGGCAGTTGGCTCGGTTGACTGGCAGCAGTTAATGCACAGCATTTATGAAGTTATCCTCCCAACACTGGGGCAGGGTTCATTCTATCTGAACAAATATAACAAAATTAAAGAAATAGTGTTTTTTCTATTGTGAGATAAATAAAGTAAATGTTAAAATCAGTTTGTCTTGCTGTACTTGCTTCATGGGCCCTGGGTGGGTTACGCTCCCTAGTTTGAGAACCTGTCTTATGCTAATATTTAGTGTTACATTTTGGAAACTAACATCGATTTGTGATCAGTTATTGTGAGACAGATTTTAGAGAATTAGACGGACAAATAGAAAATGGTGGAATGGTTTACTTGAAATCTAAAGTATTTGTAGGATCTAGAGCCGAAACTTTACTTCTGTGCTTGTTGGGTTATTTTATGGCACTTAACCCAACAGACTTTACGAATAAACTGTGACTCTATCTCTTTCTAGGGAACAGCAGCTGTTCTTTTTATGCAGGTATGCAGGAGAATCCACTCTCAGTTTTCAGCAGCCACAGATCCTGGTCAAACCACTGGAGGCCTGACCTCTCACTCCACAGTGAAAAAGTGTGGCTACCGCATCCTCTTAGAGATCTGTAAGAATTTGAATATAATTTTTAGAAAATGTTTTGGGGTTGTTTTTTTTAAAAGATTTTGTAAAATAAACATCACAACAATTATTTTTTTATTTTTATCCATGTAGTTTAGACCCTCACTTTGACCTTTCCTCTCTGTACTGTAGTGTCCAAGAATGACGTCCTGCCCCAAGGAAGGAGTGTGTTATGCCTCGTAGCGGTGCCAGAGAGACAGAACGAAGATCAGATTGAGGCTCAGCAAAGCAACAACAACAACAGCAGCAGCAGTAGTTCATTTCACCAAAGCAGCAGCAGCGAGCGTCAGAGTACACATAGTTCAATCTGTGGCCAACAGAGGTCGCTCCTCCACCACGATTCAGCTTTATCAGGTCTGTCTCTTACTAATCAAATTCCAACGTGTACAGGGCAGTTTTAGATTGGTTAACCATTTGTGCTATTTTTTCTAGACTTGGAGGAACCTGTTCTGTCAGGGTCTCAGCCCCTTCAGAATGATGGCAGCACAAAAGACACTAATCACAAGGTGAGACACGTCTTCCTTTACTTTATGTGCATGGTTGAAAAGACCTTTCTCACTAAATAATAATCTTTAATCTTGATTTTTTTTTCTTTTATTATTTTACCTCAAGCCGGACAGGTTGTCAAATGAGGAGAGGCTGACAGAAGCAACAATAAACCTCAAAGACGTGGGAGACAACAGTATTTCAGTGGTCCTCAACATCATTGGTAATGTTTTAGTGGCTTAGCAAGGCCAATATATAATTTATACACATTCCAAAAAAAAATGTGGGTTTTTTTATTTGTTATTTTATTCCTCAATTTATGCCACAGGTCTAGAAAGTGCCAAGTGTGAGAACTACGAGGAGGCTTTTGCTTGTTTTTTAGCTGCCGCTCAACAAGGATACAACAAAGCCCAGTTTAATGTTGGTGTGTGTTATGAAAAGGGCAGAGGAGTTAAAAAAGACCAGGAGAAGGTGGGTAGTCTTTTACTGTTCGGAGTTTTTCTCCTGATCACAGATGTTCTGAAAGAAATGATGATGACAATGGTTTTCTTTTCCAGGCACTTTATTACTACAAACAAGCTGCAGGCAGTGGCCACACACAGGCGCAATACCGATATGCAAAGCTGCTGCTGTCCAGCAGGAGGCATCAGAGTTTAGAGGAGCTGAACACGGCTATTGAGCTGCTGGAAGAAGCCTCAGCAGCTGGGCTCACCAAGGTACAAGTCCTTCACTGGTCTAGGCTCACCTTAGACAAGAAAACGATCATTTTTTCATCATCTTGAAGTGCATTTTTATGATGTTATAACATTTTACAATTTTTGAAATTAAATTGCATGTAATGTAATATAGTGTCATGTAAGCATTCATCTGCAGGATTTTTTTTTATTCAATAATTTTCTTAAAAAAAGCACTTTATCTTTCCACACCGTGTTTGTTTGATGTTAGTTAACTAATACCTCCTTTTTAATTTTCCTCCTCAGGCTCAGCTCTGCCTTGCATCAGTTTACTGTAAAAAAACAGTGAGAAATGTGAGCAAATCCATCCAATATCTGAAGATGGCAGCAGAGGCTGATGTAAGTTTCCTTCTAGGTGCTTCTAAATTCTTTATTAATGGTTGATCTGGTTTGAATCACTTCCCTTCCTCACTCCTGATGTGATATACAGTTTTTTAAATTGAGCTTATATAGATATTTTATATATTAGATGTTTTCTTTTGTGGTAAGGATGGCACTGCCTTGCTGTTCCTGGGTCAGTGTCACGAGAGTGGCTTTGGGGTAGAGGAGAACCTGAGGACAGCTTTGGACTTTTACAAACAAGCAGCTGAAGCAGGCAACAATCAGGCTAAGATGCTGTTGAAACCTCCAAATACTACAGAAATAAACGGTGAGGACGCTTTCTTTTTTTTTTTTAAGCCATCACTTTGTATTAGTTACCTCTTTCTATACACCTGTTATTGAGGACACTGAGGAATGGGCTTTTATTGAGCCCAGACAGCAGAGATGATATCTGTGAGGTGTAGACATTGATTTTCCTTCTGTCTCCTCCTCAGTAGCAGCCATGCTGCGCTCCATCAGCTCCGCTCCCTGTTTCCCTGTTGCCAAGCATCAGCTCCAGCCACTCTCCTCTCTGGCCTCTCAGGTTTCATCCTCCGCCTCTCACCCAACTGCCCTTCCGCTCCTGCCCCACTCCTGGAGCACTGGGAGTCTGTTTGCTGCACCAGCTTCTTCTTCCTCTCGTCACCTTCTTCCCCTCAGCATAGAGAAACGAACCTGCCAGTGGACGGTGGGGGTCAGTTAGTTCTCCTGAGTCAGCACAGATTACAAATGGAAATTTACTGTTGAAATTTAATGTTTTTATGTGTTTTTGTTTTGGGTTTTTTTCTCCTCATAAGAGGAAAAGGTAAATGCGTGTTTGGTTTGTATATATTGGACAAGGTTTGATAAGGTTTTTCATGCATGTGTGTGTATATAGGTCAAATAATTATATGTTATTTGTAATGCTAAATAGTTATCAGACACCAACTCTGACAACAGTGGAGCCTCCTTTCTATCCATTTTTGTTCAGCACAGTATTTTTTTATATAAGTTCAGTTTTACATTGGCAAATATGGTAGTTCTACAAGGTGAACATTATGGATGGACCTTGAGAATAATTAATGAGTGAAATTACCCCAGATATAGGTGAGGAATGACAGAGGTGGGAAATAAAAGGAAACTCATTTTAAGTTAACTATGTGCCTGACCTTATACAACTGTCCAGAGTGAATTATATTGCACTAGGATTAAAATATTCTGTCTAACGCACAAACTGACAAAAAAAAAACAACAATAAAACAAACAACTGAAATGACTGATGTTTTGGTCCCTGTATGGTAAACACACACACACACACGTATGATTGTTGTGTAAACTTGTTTGTGTAAAGAAAAATTGTAGTTTAAAATAATTAACATTTTCTCAGTATTTCTCATTTTCTTGTGATAATGTTCTCACCTGTGAATCCTTCATTATAACAGGTTGTCCTAACTGCAGAGATGGAGAGATGATAAAAGACATCACATTACAGCTGTTCTCTGGTAGGTCAAATGGTTCTATGACACAAGAAAGTCTGTATTTATAAAAAGAATAAACATATTCGCTACTTCTCCATGTAGGTCTTAACACTTTTGCAGTGTTTTTGTGTAAGAATTCTGGTGGATATTCACGTTAGGTCACAACCTGCTTCATTTCTTCTTCTTTTTTAATCAATTTATTTTTTTTATTTTGCTTTGTTTTAAAATGTTTTCTTTTACTCTTCGTTTTGGAAAAAAATGGATCCAAACCTGTATCAAAGCTACACGAAATTAACAGGTTGTCATTCCATTCGTGTTAAAAATGTGATGTTTGCTGTTTTATGAAACTTAAAGAGGTATCCTAACATGTTTTACTTTTTTAATTTTTGACGCACCCTTGCATTTGTGCGTCAGAGACAAATGTGACATCCATTGTTAACTATTCATGCTTTCTTCCACAGACCCAGGCATGACGTAACACTTCGATGATGTGTGATTTCATTATCTGAGTTGCAAAATAACACCGGCAGATTTATTATGACTCTGCAGCGTCCTGATCTCTGATTGGCTGTGCAGGGTGGGAGCTGTTCGTCGACACCACAGCGCCGCTCCGGGATCCTGTGGCGCACAGAGACAGCGCAGCTCCGCCGCCAGCCAGCAGCCGAGGCGGGCTGGGAATGTTGTGATGTGATCCGATGCGGGCAGCTCGGGGCGGACTGGCTCTTAAAAGCGGCTGAGGACGTCGGCCCTGCTCACCACTCAGTGTTTTCGCTGTATTTGGAGCGGAGACCCTAAAAGCCTGGAGACTGACAGAACCGAAACCAAACGGTGAGCGGATGTAAATATAGATGCTCTCCATGGGATGGGATGCGCTCCCCTCCCAGTGCGGCGGTGATGCTGATGATGATAGAGCTGTGAGGCAGGGTAGGATACGGGGGTGGGATTCTCTCCCTCTGTGCTCGCAGCCACAGGGTTTTTCTTGTGATTTATTAGAAAAACTCCACATATAGAAATGCTTGGTGGGCGTTATGTTAGATGTATAGAGGATCCAAGGCAGATGCAGCAGTGAGGGAGTTAACTAACAGAGGGAGGCAGTGGGGAAGCGAGGTGCTACTCCACCCATGACATCATCGACTTTTTCAAGTTCATCTTCTCCTCTGCCTGAGGTTTCATCTGTTGCATTTCAATCCAAAGCATCTGGATGCAGGTCAGAGGTGTTTTTACACCGGGAGCAAAGCTAGAGGAATGAAGGGTGGTGTCTTCTCACGTGGGGCTTAGAATTTAGTCAATATGTAACATTATTTCTGTTAAAATTAATTGGATGTCTACTGAGAAATGACAACATTCTGATTTTTATTTTTATTCCAGGTGACCTTCGAGTGACAACACCTGTAAACAAGGTAAGCAGACGGATTAAACACTGTATCTGGATTGGAGTGATGTGATTTTTATCTAGTTTTTAAATCATTTTTGTGTCTTCTATAAATCTGTCTTCAATGCTGTACTCTACGACATGTGCCTTTTTTATACCTGCTGATATTTTGAGATAGGGAAACACATCACATGCTGAAATAATCAGTTAAGATGAGCTTTACAACAGTCTCCTCTGTCACTGTTGCATTTACTTGAGCTGCTAAAGTCTGGCGTCTCTGATGAATGGCCTCTGCTGTTACAGAGGACAACAGATTTATTCAGGACAACTGTTTCGCTGCCTCTGTGTGGACACTTTCCTGTAAACTGCTGTGTCATTCTGCCTGATTTCCTGCCTACAATGCCCATCCGTTCTCCTCCCCACTCCCCCTCACGTCTTCCCTCCGACCCACTTTGTTTAACTGATGAAGATCTGGCTGCATTGTTGAGGAGAAATTCCCAAAAGAAAGTCTCTGATGTATGATTTATGATCGTAGTTTCTTCTATATTTGGAAAAATGTGATGAGGAAAAACAAGGAAAAAGGAGAAAAAAGCTCTCTGTTTATTACCAAGCAACTGTTTAATCCAGTTGCTTGGTTCAGGGTAGTTAACTAAATTTGGGTTTTCAAGCAGTTTGATAAAGTAAAAATATTAGCCCATAGTCCAACTACTTCTCTGAGATACGTAAAACCACAACTAAACTGTATTTGTATGTCCTGTATTTCAATATACAAATTCAGTGCTGTAAAATCTTGTAAACAATAATGGACAGTGATAAAACTGTTCAAGATCAAGACAAATAGTTGATGTATTAAAAAGTAATACAATGTCCCAAAGGCCAATTGACTTGAAACATGAAATGAAGCCTAAAGTGAAGCAAATCAGAAAACAAGAACAAGAACAAGTTTAAAGGTTTGTGAAAAATAAAAAATAGTAACAAAAGATTGTGAAATATTACCCTAGGTGTTAACAAATAGCCTAAATATAGCTAAAGGTTAGCCACAAGACATAAATATTCCACCATAGAAACAGATATAGAAAGTAATATACCGGTAAGAAAATTTTATTGCCTTGTTGTATGGCCAAATGACTTTGAAGAAAAAAAGATGCAGACTTCACTAAAAACCTTCCTATTTCTGACTGTAGATTTGCATAGTGTATGAATAAATATACTAATATATATATACTAATACTACTACTAATAATAATAATAATATGTTTTCTAATAAGATATGTTTTCCTAGATGGATATGGTGCTTCAGGTGTCATATGCACCTGTTGACTCCCTGGTTGTACCCAAGTCATAGACACTGAGAGTGAGCACTGAATCAGCATAAACAGCTTGTTGTCACTGTCTGGTTCAGTGGCATTGGAACACAGCGAGTACCTAAGACTGGGAGACAGAGAATAGGGGACCTGCATGTGTAAAGTGCACTGCATCAGGATTCTGTTCTCGCCTGGAATCTGCCTCTGTCTTTTCCCAAGAAGTTGTTGTGCTTTAAAATCTGCTGTGTTTGTGTTTTCCATGTATCTGAGAAAAGATGCTGATTATGACTGCCGCACTGTGTGTGTGTGTCTGTGTGTGTGGGTGTGTGTGCGTGTGCATGTGTGTGCGTGTGTGCATGTGTGCGCGTGTATATGTAAAGGTTACACTGCATGTAAGATCAGGTTTGTTTGTTTGTTTTACTGTGTTTTACGATTATTTCTCTGTGGCCTCAAATAACTCAGACAAAGGTTGATGTAACCTATCTATCTATCTATCTATCTATATGCATGCTATACTACTATATATACAGAGTCCTAAAATCATAATTACTGCCTTCCAATAAAACATACCATTTCAGATTTGAAAAAGTAAGAATAATTTAGCAAAAATAATTCAGCAAAAATCGCAAAAACTAGACTAAAATATAAATATAAATAAATATATATGTAAGAAAAATATCTTTTCTAAAGAATAGTTTAAAAGTTAGAACTAGCATAAAATAAAGTAGCTTAAAGACAAATAAAAACTTAAAATGCTTAGGTAAAAACCAATAGGTGTCATTGGTGTTCTGGAAATGATGGAAAAAAACGAATTTAAAAAATAATAGTAAATTTTTCTGCATTTTTCAGGACAAAAGTACCGCCAGATTAAACTTGTTTAATTGTCACGACTGGCTTAAACTAAATCCTGGCTTGTTTTAGGATCGTTGTATTTCCCTGAATGACGTTTTGTAGTGTTTCATCTGTATTCCGTGCCAATGGTCTCATCCAGAGATAAAAGCCTAGATTAGTGAGTTAGCAGGAGGCGGCTAACACTTGTTCTTTTATACAATCCTGTGTGTGAAAGCCGTGAAAGTTAGTGTCATCTCAGGACACGTTATGCGCAAAAATGCAATTTGACTCTGAGTCTGATTTATTAGCTTTATGTTAGTGATAAAATGAAATAAACGGAGGAAAAAAAAACATCACAGAACCTCCGTATACACTGCACTAATCCAGTGCAGTAATTACACCAGTGGCTGTTCCATTATTATTAACCACCTTCAGAGGCTTTAAAGAAGCCTGTAACCACAATGACAGAGTATTATTGCATGCTGACTTACTGACTCAGCAGAAACACAGGAAAATGTGACCGATTAATTTTCCAGGCAGCTCAGTAAACCTAGGGCACGGATATTTAAATGATGTAGAACATTAAAAATTTAGCTTTTGCTTTTTTATGAATTGTAATTGATGCTGGGTATAAACTGATTGTGAAGTGTAGCTAGTATTTTTTCTTTTAACAACACTTTGCACTTGTGTTTGTTTCAGTCAGCATCTGTAGCTACAATGTTTGAACCTGAACGCATAGGTTTTGAAACGAGTTTTTCTGTTAAAAATGTTCTGTGTTAAAATTTTCATATCTTTGATAACATTGGAATATTCTTGGAATGTAACTAATTAGTGTTTTTGTTTGTTTTGTTGAAAGCACAACCCCTTAAATTAATAAACACAGGTAGAGAACTGGAGGTAGAGAACAATCTAGAGATATGCAAAAACTTTGAGGCATTTGGAACTGTTTTTGTTTAGTTGGAAAAGTTTAGAATGTCACTCTTAAATTTAGAAAAAAAAGAGTGACATTAAATGTAATCTTTGTTTTCTCCACATCTCCCTCACAGCAGTGTATTCCCACTCAGCCATGATGTCAGTACAAACACCTCCTCTCTCCCGCTCTGGCTCCTCCCCTTCTAATGTGGGTTCAGCTAATCGAAGTGGCTCCTCCTCCACGCCACCCACCTCCCTCAATCTTCGCTCATCGTACAACCAGCTGCTTGGGCGTGATGTCATTAAGGAGACCATGGAGACAGGAAGCTCAGCCACTTTACCAAAGAGCCGTCAGAGGCACGGCATGACCAGTGTGCACTTTGACAACCTGTCCACCAAAAACCAACCTTCGACCAGAGGGAGAGGTCTTCCCACCAAGTCCTCCTCCAGTTCAGCGCTCTACTCCTCCTCTTCCTCCTCATGCCTCTTCAATGGTACCAACCCTAAACTTGCTAAGAATGGAGCCAACATGCAGAGACGAGCTGAGAGTCAGCAGTTGGAACTCAGCAGAGCAGCGACTGAGGGCAAAATACACAACGATCTCATCAGAAACCCAACTTCTGATTGGCTGGAGTTTGAGAAAGACAATTCACAGCAGGCACCATTCCGCAGGAGGACCAAGAGCTTCTTGGACTACCACAGGAAAGGCTGGGACCTTGACTTCAACTGGGGAAATAAGGAGGAGAAGGAGGAGAAGAAGCAGTCTTCTCCAGAGAAGGAGCAAGCAAGTCCTGCCAAAGAGAGGGAGGGCCAAAAGGAGGAAAAACCAATCAGCAAACAGATCAGTCAGGAAGAGAAGGAGGAGGTGGCACCAGTAGTGGAGGAGGAGGAAGAAGATGAGGATGAACCGACACCTACCCTGAGACAACCCCTGCTCCCTGTGGTAATGGAAGCCCCACTTTCTTCCACCTCGTCCTCCTCCAACAGTCCAGAGTGGGTACCAGACAACCACAACCACCTCCAGAACCAGGCCTCAGCCCAGGTCAAAGAGGAGCTCTGCGTCCAACTCCAGGCTAGTCCTCGCAGTCCTGCAAAACCCCCCCGTAGCTCACAGCCACGTGTCATTAAAGTGGAGCTACACCCTAACAATGAGAACCAGTTCTTACAACAGTACCCGCCTTCCCCAAAACTGACCCGAGCTGCCGAACGCAGCACTCCGACCAGGAGCCGAGTACCATCCTCTCTGCCAGAGCCAGAATCAGAGACCGGGCTCCCACGAGTGGGTTTGAAAATGGACCTGACTCCTGATACTCCATCAGAGGACGAAGACTCTAGCTGGACCACGCTGTCCCAGGAAACACCATCTCCGCAGACCCCAAAGGAAGCAGGTGTGACCAACTTTCTCCATTTGACCCCTCTTTTTACAGTTTGATGTAGAAATATGTCAAAGGAAGCAGTCGCTTATCAGTGATGACTCAGGAACCTTTGACCTATTACATTCCTTATGATGTAATAGGTTAACATAAAGGCACTTCAGAGGGTTAGAGAATATGTTTGTGTCGATACAAGATTTATGAGTTCAAAGACAGGAAACGGGGTTTTACCCATTTGATCTTTCCAGAGGGAATGAGCCCTCAGGTTTCCATGACAACAGAATATCTAGAAACAGACTGTACCATCCAGTCCATCTCTGTGTATAAGTACTACAAGTATGCTGTATGTGTTGATGTGATACTCTTGTGTCATCCATCAGCAGATGTTTGGAGTGAAGGCGATCTGCCACCAGGTTGGAGGGAGATCTCGGACTCATCAGAGGTCTATTTCTGGCATGTCCCCACCGGCACAACGCAGTACCACCGACCTGTTGCCGCAGGCAACCACCAGCTTCACAACAGCCCTCCTGACAATGAGCCTGACACTGAGCCTGACCCACAACAGGAAACACAACAGGCCCTGAAGCCACCTGCCGAGGTTAGAAAACCTTGTTATCAAGCTGCACATGAACAAATCTGAGTCCAGCTTCAGCCAGTGAGGCTGTATTTTAGACTGAGCCTGAGCTGCTTAATGTTAGTCAAACATGTTACCACAGGTAATGTTCAACAACTAATACCAATTATTCAATTCCTTGGGAGATGAGTTTTTTATCAGAAAGACAGAGTCAAGGCTCAAACGTGGTTATTCTATTCTAGATTTATTGAAGTATTCATTACAGTAGAATATCCTGAGCCGTTATAAACATACACCAAAAACAAAAGAACAAAACAAAAAAAAATGTTAAAATTCAGGAATGAAGACATTTTTAGGGTTCTATTTTTTTTTTTACTAAAAAGTAATGTGACAGTAAATTTAAAACCATCCTTGGTATATAATGTTTTTAGGTATGCTATTTTAAAGTCTGCTGTCATAATACTAAAGCACTACAAAGTCACAGATATACAAGCTAAGTCAAAATGTTTTAATAAAAAAAAACATTTTTTTTAAAGCTATTCAGTATATTTAAGGTTAAATATTTCTTCTTTAATGAAAAAACATGCTGGAAATGTTTAATAATTTCAACTGATAACATTCCCAAATTATTTATGCAGTGTTCAAATGTCATTCTTTGCAGTCTATTTAGTCCTCTCACTGTCCTTTGTCTGTCGTTCTCCTGCTGTGTCTCTGTCTGCTCACTTTAACCCTTTGTGTTCCCCTCAGCGTCCCATCAGTCTGATGTCTGACAGCTCGGTGGAGCCTGTTCCCTCACCGTCTGGCTCCTGTCCCTCTTCCTCCTCCACCCCCTCAAATGATGTCACCTATTCTGGACCAAATCTCAACAACACCACCACCACCACCACCACCTGCACAGCCAACGTAATGCATGATGTCACATTTATTTTTGGAAGATTGTTCCTGATTCAGAGACAGTGCTGATGAATTTGACAGTCTGGTGTTAACTGTTTGATTAATACTAAATATTAAATATCTATTTTTTCATTTTGTCACCTTTAATGGCTGAACCATTAGCATTAGAGTTGTTCTATTAGCCTCAGTTCATCACAGTAAGACTTTATATAGAACTGTTAGGTCGGCATTTCTTCCTAAAAGGCCTTGTGCTGTTATTGATTTAGCTCAGCTCACACTGCAGCACTTATTGAATTGCCGTGAGTGCAGACTCATTTCCGTCCAGATCAGGCCCGAGGTGCACATTTTAGACAGATGAATATCTCTCATGTGAGGTTTCTATTTTCTAAACATCTGTCTGTTTGGCTCTAGGATCTGAAAGACTATCCAGTTTACCCAGATCCCAGTCTGAAGGCGTTTGAAGGAGCCACCCTGCGCTATGCTTCGCTAAAACTGAAGTAATGCTCACAGACTTTCAAACCTTAGCTCTTGATAAGTTTGTCACTTTTGTCTGATGATATGATTTGATTTTGTTCTCTTGCAGCCCGCCAGCCCAGTTAGAGACAGTTGACCTGAACAACACTTTCTCCAGCTCAGAGGAAATGGTAAGATTAAAACAATACAAATACGATACAAATCTGAACCTCTGGCTCAAAGTTCGCTCAGAAATGTCTCAAATGTTGCTCTAGCAAATAAGTTAACCAAAGTAGATATTTTCTCTTCCTTTTCTGACCCTTTTTGTGTCTCACAGTGCCGCTCAGTGGTGACCAAAGGTACTTTGTGTGAAGCCGTCCCCTCTCATTTAGATTTTACCGCCTCCTTGTGGAATGATCGCGTACATACTAGATATTACCTCATTTAAAATCAAAGTGGAGAAATGTCTGAACAGAATTATACAATGACGAAATATTAAATATTTATATTATTATACAAATCATCGTCCTTATGATTTCTAATATTATTATTGAGTTACAATTATAATGCATTTTTTATTTTCAACTAAAGTATCCTTTGTTTCATGTATTTTTTATATATATATCTTTTTTTTTTCCCTCTTCAAATAGAATCTCGCCAAATACATTCCAAAAATATATTTGGTGTAGGTGTGTGCAGTGATGGATGAAAAGATGAAGGATGAAGGAATTGAGGCAGGACTTAATTAAAATAGAAAGTGTAGTGGGGGACCAGGGATAAAAATAGTAGGTAAAATTATGGAAAATGGCAGGTTAAAACATGTTTAATAAAGTATGACAGGTAATTACAGGGAAGGTTTAACCTTGACCTCTAAACCAAACCTGTGAACAGTTGTAATGAAAATGTGATCAAGAAATTGTCTGAGGTGCCTGATGGATATTACCATAGCAATTGAACTTCAGTTTCAAATGTTAATTAATTTTAGTACATTACTGCATTACAAAGCAATCACATTTTTACTACCTTCGAAAAGGATGTAGCCTTTGCTAAAACTGCAGAACATTTTCCGTTGTTTGCCACAGTGCCACATAGTGGCAACTTTAGGAACTTTTTACAATAGAATAGAGGAGAATAACACTATATCTAGAGTGAAATACTCTACACAGCACATACATATATTAAATGTAAAGATAATGACATATTTGTGTTTTATGGCACATGGCCCTTGCACTACTAATCTGAATATTCTTGTCCCTAAATCAGAACACAGAGGATGTTTAATGTACAAGTGTTTTGAAACTGGTTTGTATTTCTATCCCAGTCTTTTCCAGTACGATCTCTGGGCTGGGTGGAGATGGCAGAGCAGGACCTGTGCGAGGGCAGAAGCAGCGTGGCAGTTCATCACTGCATCAGACAGCTGTCCTACTGCAGGAGGGACATACGAGACTCGGCCGGGGTCTGGGGAGAGGTCAGTGTATTTACTGTACCTATGAAATAACTTCAAAAACATATGTTTTTATCATAATGATTTTATTCTTATAGGGCAGAGGGATGCTGCTGGTTCTCCAAGACCGCATGTTGACTCTCGTCGACCCTGATGATCACAGCCTGCTGCACTCACAGCCAATCAGCAGCATCCGTGTGTGGGGCGTCGGCCGAGACCACGACAGGTACAGGGACAATGTCCTCCTTTTTCTTCTTACGTGAAACCAGTTTTTTTTTTTCATGTTTGTGGTCTGTTTGAGCTGATGTCAAACAGACCACAAACACGCCTTACTATAATTGTGTAGCATATATATTTGCATATCTTATTTACATTGGCTTCATATTAGCATATAAATTACCCAGAACTACATTCATGCGTCTGGTGAGCTGAATCAGGATTTTTTTTCTTAATAATTATAATTAACTGTAATCAACCTCCAACATCTGCACTCACTGTTCCTGTTTCCTCTCCACACTGACAACCTTTGGGGGGCGGGGCTGGTGGGTTCTTATCATTTGGAAATGTCAAAGAGAGCTAACCTTTTACCAGTGAGCTAACAGTGTGCTGATGCTTGCACAGCTGCTAATGGGGGATGGTCAAGGAAACATCTGGAAACATGCGCGTGAATTTAACATGCAGTAGACTCATTTACATATTTGCATGTGTGTATGTGTTTGTTAAACATAATTGGAAAGCAACAAATGTGGATGTCTTTCCACAGCTAAAACTGCTAACCGGCTGCACTTTGGAAGAATAGCATTAGCCATGGTTCTAATACTGAACAGTGAAGTAAAATACAGAGAGAGAAAAAAAAAAGGATTGATGTCGCTGTACTTGCCTGCTCGCTGAGTCGACTTATCTCCTTCATTCTTCTCTCTCTCCATTCGATCTGTGTTTCCTTTTTCTTTTTATCTCCTCTACTCTGGTGTATCCACCATCAAACACGTCAACTGCTGAAGTGTTTTACAAATGTTCTGTATGGAGAATAGCTCTTTCAGGAAGATAAACCATCTGGTTCCAACTCAGATTCTAACTAATGATTATTTTCAACAGTATAATTGCAGTAATTGTTCTTTTCATGTGGCTGAAAGTGAACTTGCAGAGCCATCTGTTTTTAATCTGTTTTCATTTGATTTGTTTTCAAAGTTGTTTTTCCTGAATACTAATGCACTTTGAGATATTATCTTAAAAAAAATTGGACCGGACAGAATGTCCAATCATATCACACACATTTCCACACGCTTATGTCTCACTGTACTCCTGCATTCCTAATGACTTTTTAAAAACAGAAGAAAGATGGATGGATGGATGGATGGATGGATGGATGGGGAAAAACAAAGGACAAAAGACAGAAAGAAATGGAGGAAGAACGGGTTGAAGGCAGGAGAGAAGTTGAGACAAGTGTCCCTTCATTCTGAAGGTCTCAGAGGACTGAGAACTCGGTGTTGATGTCTGTCTCGGTGATAATGGATAAAACTTGTCTTGAAGAGCAGAAGTGCGGGTCAGTCCAGGATAACTCTCCTTTTGCTCCCTCTTCTTCACTCTGACTCTCTTTAACTCTCCGACTCTCACTCTTTCTCCTTCTCTTTCTCTCACTTCCTCCTCCGCAGCACTTTTTTAAAATTATGCAGTTGACTGCACAATCCACTATGCTCAGTTTCAGTCTGATTCTGTATCCAGTGATTATGGAATGCTGTGGAACCTCCTCGTGTTTTCGATGTATGCTGCCAATTACTTTTGTTGGAGCCCGTGTCCCACAACAAGATTGCACGTGTGTGTGTGTTTCGAAAGATAAGTTTTATGTATTATTTCATAAACTGCAATTGCCGCTTCCTGCCAGTAGAGTGTACTACAGTCAAAGTCTGTGTTAATTTGGTGTGATAGTAATGCGCACTCTTTCACCGCTGGGTTTTCACTTTTACCGAAAAAGGAAGGAAATTGTCCAATGAAAGTATGTTATTATTATTTATTTTTCTTTTTTCTTATCAATCTGAATTGTTCTCCTTTTATTTAAGAAATCGTTGAGTTTCTGATCTAAATGCTGCTCTGATCAGATCACGGACTGTCAGGGTGATGGCCTAGATGGTTTAGATCTGGGTTGGGGAGAAATATTGGACACGTTGGACAAAGGTGGTCGAAGTTGGATGTGGAGGAACACACAGAAGGTTTATGGAGGTCTGAATGAGAACATGAAGATTGTGGTTGTAACTGTAGAGTAGGCAGGGATAGGCAGCGGTTGATGTTCTGCTGTGGCAACCCCAGGTGATGCCAAAATAAGAGGAAGAAGGATGAGCTAAAGCAGGAATTTGAATTTGAAAAATATTTTCAAGGAATTGGGCAGAAAAAGGGAAACTGGGAGAATAATGTAATGCAGGCAAAACTTGACATGAAGATGCTTTAAACTTAAACTCCTTTTAGCCTTTCCATCGCTGCCCCCTCTCCATTGCCTTTTCTTCATCCATCCATCTAAGAGTGTTCTCTACCCCTGAGCATTCTGTCTTCCTCAGCCTTATTTAATATAAATAAGCCCCCAGTCGCTGAAACAGGTTAGACAGAAGGAACTGGGGAGTGGTTGGGGATGGGAGAGGAGGGGAAAAAAAGGGGCGTAGCCCCTTTCCCCCATGAGGTCATATGGCTATATCTGGAGCACTCAGCAACTTCGGGTGCGTGTGTGTGTTTGTCTCTGTGTGTAAGGTGATGGAGGCTGTGGGGGCGATGAAGTCATTGGTCTAAATATGGAGCACTTTGTCGTTCTTGTGTGACAGTGAATGAGTGTGTGTGTGCGTGCTGTCCTTCACTCCTCCATCTCCTCCTTCTGTCTGCATTGCTCTCGTGCAGCCTTCACTTCTCTAACTCTGTTGCTCCTCCTGCCTCCCCTTTCGTTCCACAGGCTGCACAGTCTTTGCCTTTGTTTCATTTTGACGCTCTTTGTCAGTTTTGCTGTTGCAGGACTTTAGCAGGGATTTAAGCTTCCCCTCATTTTTGCAGCCTCTGTGAGACATGAAAAATAGAGGCAAGGGCTGCAGCAGCTGAAGAAGTGGAGAAAAAGTGAAGACAAACAGGGAGTGTGAAGTAAAAAAAAAAAGAAAAAACGAGGAAAAAAAGAAAGGGGGAGTGGGTATTAGCTGACTGATGGAGAGCGAGTGAGGGAGGAGGAGAGAGACATGCCTCCTCGTTTTCAGAGAGCGGGACTCAGCAGGAGCTAACGGAGACTCTGTGGACCAGGCAGATAGGGAACGATAGGGAGAAGGTGCATCAGAGGAGAAGGAGAGGGGGAAAGAGAGGGAGAGGGGGAAGGAGGGAGAGAGAGGAAAAGAGAGAGAGAGAGGGAGAGAGCGATAAGCACAAAGCAGAGGGAAAAAAGAAGAAGAGAGGCAGGGTACGGGAAAAGATTTTCCCCCTGAGAATCTCTGAGAAGAGGCTGCAGGAATGTCACAGTGTTGGAGGAGCTAACGAGGCAGGAACTGGTCGCTGGTAACAGAGCGAGGATGTCTGCCTTCGTGAGTACACCTGCTTCTTCATCACTCACTCTTTTATCTGTCTGTCCATCCATCCATCCATCCAGACCTCTGGTCCTCTTTTGCTTGTAGTGGTGTAGTTTTCTAAGGTTGACATTTTATCATTTTCTAGCTACAAAAAACCCCTGCTCTGTATGTTTCTTTAAGCTTCACACTTTGTCTCTGTCCCACTCCCACATCAAGAGTGCAGATTGAGGTTTTCAGCAGCAAGTTCAGGGTTAGCAATTTAAGGGAGTAGAAATTTAAAAAGGACTGAAAGGAAAATAGTACAGATGAAAAAAAGAGAGAGATTAAACCTTGCAAAGGGGGAATTGAGACAAACAGGATTAAAGAGTTTGGATGTGCTGCAGGGATTTTTTTCCTAGTGTGTGCCACGGCTGTTTGGAGCAGTTTGATGCAGATTATTTTTTGGTGAGTGCGTGCATGTGTGTGCGTGCGTGCATGTATTTGGAAGAGAGGGGAGAAAAGGAACTAGAGAGAAGGAGTGTGTGCTTTTTATTTCTAATATTTCTGACACAAACACAGCCTGGTTTTGTCTATGTGAGCATGCACACTCCTCTGCTCCTTAACAAGAAGGATGAGGAGGAGGAAGAAGAAGAAGAGGAGGAGCAGAAGGAGGAGGAGGGGTGAGGGGAAAAACACCAGTTGAAGACCAAAAAGCGAGTGAGGTTTAATGATTTACGTGATGGGACTGAACCTCCTGACTGTTGTTCTGGTGTTTGGTTTGTGACACTTTAAGACTGAAAAACATCACTGCTGTCACACACTGAGTGCTCCACTTGTGAAGAGTGGGTTTGTGGTAATGACCACATTTCAAGAGAGAGTTATGTGCATCATAAAAGAGCAGCAAAGCCTAGTTTGTTATTGTACTAATACCAATGCTTGTGTTTGATTGGCCTGCCTGCAGTCCAGATCCATGTCCTCTTCAATGATTCAAGGATTCATGGATTTGAATGGAATGGTAATGGTATGAAATTGTGGTTCAAGGACCTGATATGAACTATCAAACTATACTAGACTGGAATATAAAATAAATTAGATAACAATATGAAATAGACGCAACTAGAATTCATAGAGAACATTGCTTAAACATGATAAAAATAAAAGAAATGTAAGAAAATAATAAACAGTTGAAGGGGAAAATCTCTGCGAAATTGCCAATTATTAATTGAGAAAAAAAAGTGCATTTTGTACCTGGTTCCTTTTGTCATTAATTACTCATCAGTAGCTGCAGAACACACCCTCGTGCACACACTTCAAATTCATTAGTGGGCAGCAGTGGACCTGATTGTTTATTCCCTTCAGGTCTCAGTTTTTTCTCCTTAGAAATGACCTTCTGTTGACAGCTGTGACATAAGGAGAGGAAAGGGAAAGAAAGAAAGGAAGGTAAATAAGAAAATATTAAAGAAATGTGTGGAGAGGAGAGGAGGACAGAAAAGAAAAAGGAAAGGAAAGAAGACTAAAGTAAAGTCAGGAGACGGCCGTTAAGGAGATCAAGTAAAGCAGACACGCAGGTCTCAAGTATCATTAATATTTCAGTGCTGAACAAACTCCAGGGATCACCTGACTTACAGTGTGTCAATTGAGCCCACAGCGCCCACTTTTCAGCCCCCCTCAGTCCTGCAGTCCCCCTTGAACCGCCCCTTATTTGCTGATGTCAAATCCC